TCCGAATGAAACTTGGTGTACAAAGCAGTTCTCTGCTTGCAATATTGAGCAGAGAAATATATTAATCCAATTCTTTTGAGAAATTTAGCCACGAATTGATTGTTCCAAATGGGCTTGGGTTCACATAATAATAAGATACCTACTTGCAGTATCCAAAGTCAATGGTAAATCTGGTTTATACCAATGAAATATCTACTTACAGAATTCAAAGTGAGCTGTGCATCTGGTTCACATAAATGGAATGTCTACTTGCAGTATCAAAAATTAATTGTGCATTGGCTCGAATTGGTTATTTATTTTTTTTTATTATGCTCATCGGTAACAATCCGATTGTTCTATTATATCGATTTGTATTTTAAATGTTCTTGTATACATTGATTGATAATTTAATGTTACCACTCCATGGTGAAAGGAAACCACTCTTTATTTACGTTGTTATTGTCATCATGCAAACTATCAAGGACACCAATCAACCAATTTAGGCCAATGTAGGTATATTATGTATGTATACTGTAGGTATATATAGTTAATGGTAATAGTCATACACCCGAAGTGTATGATATAATCATTGCTCATTAGCATTCATAGGAATGTCCTTTTCTTTTGTACTGTATTTGGTAATTAGCATACTAGATTTTAGATGCTGTACTCTGTGCTGTAGATGATTTGTTTCAAGCATATGTTGCAATTCATTTATTTACTTTTGCGTAAAACTACCATAGCTACTGCCCAGTCCATAAGACTAATGTTGAATTTATTGAAATTTCATTTAAGTTTGTAACGAAAAACGAATTTTCCCTGAACAGAGCCTAGCAGGAATATTGTTTTTAGCCTAAAAATAAGATATCTCCGACAATTCGGAGGAAATCATAGGAGCCGTTTTTGAAATCATTGTGCGCAAACATTACTAATATTATGTATAGATTAAGACCATAAATTGTTACATGTGGTTACATATGGTACCTGGGGTCACGTGTTAGCTCATTATGATTCTAGCTTAACAATGATTCCCTTGAGCGATTTGTGAGTTATGGACACTTTCCTCGGAAACCCCCTTGAGATACCGTAGCGATTATGAAAAACAGCCGAAACTAGTTAAAGCAGTAATTGAAGTTAACAGTCTTGACTGTAATATCGAGTCATACAACTCCCCAACTCCCCGGCCCGGCTCGCAGATGAGTTCATATAAAAATACATGCCGCTAAGGACTCCTTGGATTGAATCCAGTTTTTAATCTCTCGGTCTTACCAATTGCTTATTTTCTAACAATGTGCAGTATGCAAATTTTAATGCATGCCTTGTAAGGAGTTGACGATTTAAAATAATCAGCCTAAACTAATTTTATGTAAAAAAGCAAGTTTGCGATTAATTTTTCATTTTTTCCTTTACATGTTTCTTGAGAAAGTTCTTTAGGTGTTATCCATTAGCAGCTCTAGAAGTGGCAGGCTGTTTGGGTCGTAAAGAGTAAATAATAGGTAACAACTCTAGCACGTGTTTAAAAGATCGATTGCTTCTTTATTTCGGCGCTCATAGAAAACAATACACAATTTTACATAATTTTAAACTGTAGCTGTATACAAACTTTAAATTTAATCATATTACCAAATCGTAAATAGATTACATATAGTATTTTTCGTTAATAGTCTAAAGTAGGCTTTTCTGGGACGATATCGTGTTTAACGGTATTCGATTAAGTCACAAAAAACATTTTAGGACGAGTTACAAACAATATTTTTCATTACATTGTCATATATTATAGCAGAAAATACAAAATATAGCCAAAACCGTTTGATTAAAATGGAATTAGGTTCTGCAAGAAACAAACACAGTTTGTTTATTTATTGTTGAAGCATTTGAAAGGATCAGAACAGCTGATTTGTTTTTGAGATAAACTTTGACATAACCATATGATTCGACTCCGTAAAATGCTATCTTTAGGGACTCAAACGATCCGTAAGACAGCTGTTTTTGATACAGTGTAATGAAAAATTAGTTATACAGAGGGGTTCAAATGCCTCAATTAAATATCATATATAAGCTTAAAATGGCTGGTGGGAAAATGGGGGCGTGGCAAAAATCAAGAACTTAAATTAAGTGGGTGTGGAGAAAAAAATCTAACAAAACCTCGACTCACCAAATCGAGTAGCACATAATAAGTTAACTTGTCCTAATACGGACTCCTAACACTTCACAGTGCCTTAGCGGATTTTTGGACTGTAGCGTAGGTAAAATAAACCTTAAGTACTTAAGTACTTTTACTATCCAGGCTATCTGGGTATGCGACTGTCAATAACTAACTCCGTTTTTGCGGTACTGACTTTTGTTTGTAGGTGTATTGGTGTATTAGTGAGATGTATTGGCGTGTGTGCAGTTGGAATGTCTATGTATGTGTGTTCAGTCATGGGGAAAGTGATATAAGTAGGACAACAGTAGTAGCATCTCTACTTTCCCTAAAACTGTGTTCCTTACAAGTGGAAATATGACTGGAATGTTAATTACTAGATTCGTAACTGGATTGTTCTTCAAAACTGGATTTAAAATTGGATGGTACCTTTTTTGCTGTGCTCATGATAAGGAGATTTCTTTGTAACACAATTTTTATCTGGAGTGTTCCACTGGTTTTTGAGACTAAATAAAATGTGCAGTGTAGCTAAATACAAGACAGGAAAAAATCTATGGTTTTGATATAAAAGAGGTTTATTTTACGAGGGAAAATGGGTACATGTTTGTATTAGAGGTGGTTCGAGATGAATGAATGCAACAATGGACATTTACATATGGTCATGTGATGAGAATTACAGATAGACTGTGGGGAACAAAGACATTTATAATAATAGAAAAACACAAAGATAACTTGTCTGAACATTTGTATTTGGATTGTTCCTCACAACTCGATTAACGACTTTGGGTTTTTGTATCTAAATTTTTGTATTTGGATTGTTCCTTGAAACTGAATTACTAACTGTATTTGTCCTAAGTATGCTATATGGATTGTTCCTTTTAAAACTGCATTATTAACTGTATTTTTTTATAAATTTATTTTAATTGTTGCTACAAACTATATTGTTCTTTACAACTATCTGTTTTTGTATGTTGGTCAGTCTTCTGTAACTGAATTTGATAAACGGTAACGTTTGCCGTATTGTGTCTGTCTGTCTGTTTGTCTGCCTGTCTGTCAGTCTGTCTGTCTGTAATATATATATATCTCGAAATCCAGCGGGAAGATTTTGAATAAATTTAGGAATTAGGCAATTATAGCCCTAAAAACGTGATTGGTGACAGTTACTACCTCAAAAAATTCGTACTTCGCTACACAACTCATTTTAAACCTTAAAGATTTAACATAGGCCTTATGGGTTGCTAAGTAACTATATTGGTTGAAGAAAATAACAAGGAAAAAGTAAACAAAAGAATTGTAACTACACACAAGTGTTTATATCAAGCCATCCACAGTATACTCTAGCAAAAGCAAATAATTACAAAATACAGTAAAAAGGGAAAACATGAGTTGTAACTATTGAGCAAAGATTGAGATTAAACTGAAGATTACTCGATATAGGGAAAAATAGTTCCGATCAAATACTGATTATTTTACTTAGCCCTCTTCCCCCAAAACTTTAGCCCTGAAGTACTGATGCATTCCAAGTAAACTAATTACATCTGTTTTTCGTAAATTATAAAGTGTTTATTCACAATATTTTTTTGTTTTAACTATTAAAACCAATTAACTACAACCGAGCAAGGCTCGGCTCCCCTTTACTTTTCATAAACACGTGGAATTTTATTGCTACATTCAAACAGTCATTAAGAGTGACTTAATGTGGAGGATTCGTAAACGTATTAATCAGTTCTCCATGACTATTAATGCTCGTGCAAATACAGTATTTCTATTTTGGAACTAAATACGTTTGCCATTACACGAAATATCTTTGTATAAAATTCGTCTTCTTATACAACATGCATTTATAGTAATACAAATTAGTAATAATCTTTATCTAAATAGTATTTGTATCACTAGAATGTATCCTTGGAGTCAAGTCCCATTCTTTAGTTTTTTTGTCGAATCGTAATCTAATCACCCAGAGTAATTTAAAACTGAAGTTAATCAAAGGGAGGTATTGACGTCATGCATTTTATATAAACTCATCTGCCAACTGGGCCTAGGGAGCTGAACCGTAGATATTACTGTCGTGCTGGTGAATTCATGACACTTTATTGTCTTAGCTTGCTTTTCAGCCAGTAATATCTCCTGAAATATTATTATTCAGGGTAGTTCGACAGTAGGTCGAGTGTACATTGCAGAAATTGAGTTTTAGAAGTAAAATATGAATAGGCCTACAGATTGAAATATGCATATAGCTGTAAAGTATGCATATAGCTGTGAAAAATTCATTTAGCTATGGAGTTCGCATATAATTGTGAAGTATGCAATTGGGTGAGAAATATTAGTAAAGCTGTAAGGTATGCATATAGCTGTGCGATATGCAAAGTTATGGAGCATGCATACATTAGCGTGAGGTATGCATATAGATTAACATAAAAGTACTTATGATGCTTGCCTCCTTAGTTGTCCTCCTTCATATTGATTAGAACGTTACTAGTTCGATACTGAGAAAATTCTGTGATAATTGGGCTTTAAGGAAATTTACTTGGATGAGGAAACAGCTCAGTTGCAAAGTTAGATGTTGGATTATCGAGAGCCTATTGAAGAGGGAAACACCAATTTCTTTGGTTGCTCACAAAATTCAGAAAGGGTTTACATCTTGAAAAAAAAACCCTAGGAACACCAGCTCAAATATACCGACCCAATTAAACAGTCTGCTATAGGTCACAATTGGTGTAAAACACTTCCAGCCTACTCAATACTCATACAGCATTGCTAATCACCTCCACAATGATTCCCCCTAGTGCAAGTCCCTGTATCATCCGACAGTAAACCGGCTCCTCTAGCGACGCCTACTCCGTTATTCGGTTACTCTATGGCGGTTTCTCCTCCGAGTCGGTCTTACTCTGTGGAGGTTTCTCCTCACAGTGTTACTCTGTGTCAGTGTCAGTGTTGTGGCGGTCACTAACGACTCTAGTGCTAACGATGACTGATAACAGAGCTATCACGATGTCTCCTCGGTCAGTGTCTTCGTGATGATGTCCCCCAGGATCTCCCCGCTACCGCTCCTCCTGCTCACGGTCCTGCTGCTGTCCTCCGTCCTGGTGAGTCATGTGGGATGGATTAGGGAACATTGGGAAATTTTTCATAGTGGTTATTTGAGTTGTGTATAAATTTAATGGCTCTGGAGGCGTCGTTATAATTTTTATAAGTGGGTTTTGATAGTGTAGTATGCGCCACGAATGAACAGAAACGGTACGGATCATAAACATAAACATTTTTCGTTACTGGCCCGAATCATATACTAATAACATTAACATAAGTTTTGACGATTTTTGACATAAACGTAAAATTTGATGTAATTTTGGGGAGGTATAAAACAAAAATAAACTTATTAAAAATTGTATTGCTGTCAATTTTTGACTTTGGTAATGTATACAAAATTTTTAATCGTCCAAATGTAAAGACCCTAAACTACTATAGAATGGAGTTCATTATACTATGGAGTTAGCTCCTGGATCCCAGCAAAGTTAAACTAATATTTAAGTATTTAATTTGGAAATTGGAAGTTAAATTCTTATGGTGTCATAAACTTTAAAGCCTGTTTTGAAGTGTGTATGATGTTTATGAAGTCTACTCATCTATCTATATAAATAAAATTAGAGTTGTATCTGTACATTGCTCAGAATCATAAACTTTTAGGTTATTTTTACGTTTTATACATTAAAGAGACCGAAACAAGTCTCATCTAAATTTCTGTCTGTCTGTCTGTCTGTCTTCCTGTCTGTCACGGCCCATGAGCCATTTTACGCGGCCTTCTCCTGAAAAACGAGAGTACCTATCAAGTTCCAAATCATTTTAATGTATTCACTGGATTGGCGGGATTGTCTTTAGCCATTAAAATATGGCGTCACAGCTTTGTAAATAAAATGACGGACGTTTAAAAACCCAATTTTGTGTGACATTTTGTACAGTTTTCCCACTGTTTATTACATATTCATCTATGAAATAACGAACAGCTGTTCGAATCAAGATTATTTCTTCTAGCTGTGCGATTTATTTACATTGAATGTTGTTTACAAATACCGCAACCATTTCCGATCACGTTTTGAAAGCAAATCCAAACCAAGTGAGATTAAAAACTTTTTCCTTACATAACGGGTTTAATTAATCGCAAGTGCATAATTTGTAGGGTATCCGTAAATGTAAATAGAGATTCTTTGTGTATAAAATTGTTCTTGAGTTTTGATAACCGGGAAAAAGACCTTGAATCAGTGTTGTATAAGTTATGGCTGGGAAACTTACATTTTTTAAATGAGCGTTTTCAGTCGAGACTCGGCACAAGACCGACGCGCGTCTGTCCATAGTAAAAATAAAAGTAGGCATACCGTGTATTTATGTTTTATTCGTCATGTGTATAAGTGTACAGTTCGTGTATGTGTTTCAAAAACTCCAAGACGCACCTAATGGGGAAGCTCAAGACCTTATATTAGGACTGATGATGGCGATTTAGTTTTGCCGAAATGCATTTCCTGTAATAGGATACATTAGGATCGACCGGTGGACACAGGTAGTTTAACCTTTTATTGATTTTCATACCGATCCGAAACAACAACAAACAATATAAAATGAAGTTATCTATGTATAATAGTTTGGCCAGCATATCTGAAAATATGCAAACCAATTGCTGTTTTTATAAATGAAGGTTTCAACTGAATACTAAAAGATCCCCGTGCGTAGAACGGGTACACAGCTAGTTATATATAAAAAAGGCAGTCAGGTTTTTGTCGGCAGAACTCCTCCGTGGTTTCTCAACCGTTTTCGTTAGCTTATGGCTCATTGTAAAGATCTCATTGAATAAGGCCTTACTTGTTGAAAAAGTCCCATCGGCTTTGCCCCAGTGGCATTTAAAGTTTCCATGTTATCATTATTTGTTTGTTTACATTATGATCAGCTGATCAACAAACATTTTAAGTTGCAATTCAAGGAAACCTAGGTGCTACACACATTTACTGACTTAGTTTAAATTAGGCGCATATAAATTATAATGGAAAAGGCGAGAAAGCCTGGGCAATTTTATATTTCATTAAATAAAAAAACTGAATTGACACAGTTACTTTATTTCTTGAGCAGTCATTGAAAGAACCGATTTGGAAACTATGGATAGTGGAAACATAGAAAAGTTATAGAACGTCACCAAGTAGAAGAAATAGAGATAATGTTTTATTCCGAATTTTATTATTGTCATTAGCCTAGATAATGTAGAACACAACATTGGTTCCTACAAACGGGAATGAGAATGTTAGTCGAAGTGCTATCATTTTTGGAAGGAAACATGTATAGTGGGGACTTTGTGATCATTGCAAAGGAAACCCCTCTAATCTAAGGTGAAATAAAACTGGGACTTAAAGGACATTTATCTCAGTTTCCATAAACATTAAGTGATTTTAGAATAATAGGACTACATCCAAGAAGCCTTTACTAAAGTTGTCATTGAATGGTTTCAACTACTTTAAAAAAACAATCTGAGTTATTAGTTTTAAAATAACTCCTGAAATACAAGTGCTCGATTTTAAGCAACAGTTACACTAGTTCGATTTAAATAATAATGACACAATTTTATGTAATAATACAGCTGGTGTGTTTTTTTACTTATTTGTTTCATCCGCGATTCAATAGTTATTTGTGTAACTAGTGGGCAAAGTGGCACTTTGCTGCACACGAGAGCAATGTTTACGCACGATCCGCAGGCGAGTGCGGAATGATCTCGAGTGCAGCAAAGGCCTTTTGCACTCGTGTTACACATTATATTTTTCCTACAGTCACTATAAAGCATATAAATAATTGGTCTTTCAAATACTATACAACACGTTTTTAGGTTCAGCTGGCAACACAAATAGGTGCCCTAGAGAAAGTAGTACCCGCGGTCCGTTTCACTCCGCTATTTTTCCTCGGCAAGAAATGTGCTCCGCGTTTTGAGAATATAGTTCCGTATGTTTTTGTAATTTGAAGTAGTTTTAGTGCCTAAAAAAATGTTGATCTTGTTTATTAAGATCGTAGGAATGTTTAAAAGAAAAGTTCAGAAATACCGAAACTATAAACACGAAATGACAGGTTGAATCGTAGTTATAATAGTCAATCAGCTGCTCATAGTATTATTATCTTTAAGTGTTGCCAACCTATTTCCAAGCGTACACGGATTACGTGCATAATAGAACCACGCTGTTTTGTGTTGTTTCGTTGGAATCCTGATGTGCGGCAAAGTATAAACCGAATGACAAAGTATAAACCGTATGGCAAAGTATAAATATGCAGCAATTAGCAGCATTCTGTACTATAAACAATACAAGGAAGCCAACTTTGTCGGGTGACTGTAGGAAAAATCCATTTTACATATATTTACAATATTGTCACGATTACTTCATCATAACATTATTTCCTCACGTTAATGTCACAATATCTATCTTCTATCTATCTATATTTTTAACTCCGTAAGCGAAAATTGGTCCCAACGAAATATCTCAGGCTAGAAAAAAAGGTGGCATGGCTGTTGAGGATATATTCTAAAGCTGAAGATCCAAGGACGGTGGGAAAAATATCAGAAGTGTCCAAAATTACCCCTGCTCTACCCCGCAGGCCGTCATAGATCCAGTCATTTTTTAATGAAAATACTGATACAGTGTTTCTATAAGCTGTTTTAAATATACCGACTGTTGTAAACATTGCGTTTTTCTTTCTTTTTTTTTGAATAATAATGCAGAGTTGAAATTTATCGTGTTAGGGGAAGACCACGACAACGAAGGACATTAGTTATGAATGGTGCACAGCATAGGGTAATGGTTGAGGTCAAATTACAACGGAGGTGAAGGGCAGAAATTGGAGCTATGGACCCCTAGTCGTCAACGTCACAATATTGGCACAATCTTTTTCCCGATGACGTAACGGCACGTGGTTACTGAGTAGCTTTTTAATACAAGAATATTGTTTAGAAGACTCATAGTTTTCTGTTGTGTTTATATTAATGTTTGGTGTTGTTATTTTTCCCTGTGTAGGGAGATGCCGACGATCGGGAGGAAAGGAGATTCCTCCAGAACCTTTTCAACAGAAGACCAACCCCTGTCGAGCGGGAGGATAGATCCTGTAGTTGTAGTGAGTAGAACATCTTATATTAACATAAGAGCACATGATTTGTTAGTATTTAAAATCAATCCATTCCAAACCAAACACAAATTGAAATCTATATACTGTATTTAATACGCTAGGCATATTTTTGTCATAATTGTTTTGGAGCGGTGGTGCTACCGATCACCATGTCCAAGGTGTCGTTAGAAAGGTCATAGCAGTTTTGTCATCAAGCAAAACACTTTGGAATTCCATCAGGGCTCTGCCCCAGTGGCCTTCAAAATTCCCATGTTATTCTTAGGGAGAAAATGTTTGTTTACATTTGAACAGATGAATACTTTGAAATTGACACTAATATTTGAAATAGCTGGTTATTCTAAAATTGGAGACATGTGATATAAAGGATTTTACCTACGACCGTTTTTTAAAGTGGCCATTTCAGTTCAGTTCTTAGAATTGAAAAGTTTCACTTAACAGCTGTTTACTTTCATATCAGCATAGTTTAATTTCATATCAGCATGGTTTTTCTCATATCAACACGGGTAACGGACCAATGAGGTTCAAGGATTGAGAGAAAAGAAGTACAATTGTAATACTTCGAACGTCAACTAATCAGCTGATCAGCTGATCAGTTGACAATTTTAATTGTTGATCCGGCTTGTTCCTGTTGATACTCGCGTATTCTTAACCTAAGTTGGTGGAAGTTAAATGAAGGTTGATTTTAAAATATCAGTTAGTGAAAGTGATGTTGACGAGATAGAAATGAGAGCACAAACCGTTTGTGCTAATCTTTTGCCACCAAAATCAAAACAAAGGTACCATATGCAATTACATACCAGCAATTCATTAAATGAACGAAACAAAATAAGGTTAAATTGATAAATGAAAATGTTCTTCTGGTTTATTTTGAAAACCTCTTAACCACTTTTTCACCCAACTCGTTGTGGACCACATATTCGATGCTGAGATCTAACTGTAAATTAACTGTTTCACTATATTATTCAGTTGTCCAAAAATATATGCAATATTTCCCTAATTGTACCTGATACAGTATTTATGGTAACAATGCTGCTAGCACAACCCATTGCCTGAAAAAGTAACGTATTATTTAACAAAGTTTTACAAACACGTAATTACATTAAATCAGCTGATTATACAATAAGTCGTTGCATCACTTTCAGTGACAATGACAATAAACGAAAACATAACCTCTCTAGGAAGTTATGAGTAGTGATTGTTAGTAATAAAAAACCAGATTTTTAGTAATTAAAAAACGGTCGTAGGTAAAGTAGTGTACGCAACTCGCGTTAATAGTCTTTACGACACTCGTAGAAGTTTTTAAGGCACTCGCCAAGGCTCGTGCCTTAAATTTTCTACTCGTGTCGTAAAGACTAACTTAACGCAATCGTTGCGTAAACTACTATATTAGATTAGAAATTATGACTGTTATTTGTTTTAAAATAACGCCTATAATACTTAGCAATTGCTCGAATTCGAGCAACAGGTACACTAGTAATTGTTTATTTCATTACTGGGCGTAAAATTACTCTTTTCGATGCGAGCTTTTTTCGACCGAAGTCCTGGTTGGTAAATGAACGAGGATTGAAAAGACACTTTTCGTCCGTGTAATGAATTCTATTTTTCGTCATTTTGCAACATTATTTACAAAGTTAGAAAACTCAGTTAGAGAACAAAAATACTTGTCATGTGAAGATAACATCTCAAATAGACTTCCAGCATATCATGCATTCATTAAAATCTGTTTATAGTTATACCATAGTTATACCTATTACAGTATAATCAGGGGTTTAGGTAAATTGTTTTCAATTTTGCCAATGCAAATAAGCAGCTGTTTATTAATTCATTCGATAATTTCGTCTATTACGATTGTCTTACTGTATATTATACTATCGATATGTCGATATGTCGAACTATTGACAATAATGCAACAGTGAGCTACCGAATAAATCAATCGATGAATAATCCTGATACATGCGATTGCTTACAGTCAAAATTTACAACTGTTTACAACAGCTGGCTTTCACTCCCGCAACACATGTATTAAAACAGCTGTTTTGCTGCAGTATAACAAAAAAACGTTAGGGCAACATTGTGAATAATTTGGGGATAACATCACAAACACAAGGAAGTGAATTCTACTAGTAGACATATTAGCTAACGTGCAACATGTGGGCTCACTCAAATTAATCAGATTTTAACGTAACCGATCAAATTAGTTAAGGTTCTGTGGGTAATTATGATTGAAAGCAAGAGTAAGGGTGATTCATCACTTAAAATCTGTTCTTTGTTTCAGTTTTTGTTTATTTGAATACTTCCTTGAATGTCATTATGTTGAACAAACTGAATAAGAATTTTAAGTACAGTTTCAAATTTTGTATTTTTGTCGTATAAATAAATATGTATTGCAATTGATTTCTTGGCATAACCGTACCAGTTTAACGGCAATAAAACTAAGATACTTAATGAATTTAACTTAATGAATGAACTTAAAACATTACAAAAGCCTGTATAACTGATGGTGTTAATTTATGTTACGTGTTTATGCCCATACGTGTATTCATTGTTTAAAGTGTATGCCTATTTGGTAATGTAGGTTTACATAAATAAATAACTGTCTATAGCTGATCCACATAGGTGGTATTATAATATATGTATACTGAGCTTAGTACCCAAAAGTGTACTACTGGCTGGGTAGCTGAGCGTTTATAGTGCTCACCTCACAACCAAAAGGCCGCCGGTTCGATCATGAGAAAAGTCAGTAGCTTTTAATGATTCGGAACTGGACCCAGCTTTGCCTGATCATTGGGCTTCAAATAAATTAGCCTGACTAACGACAGAGCTAAGCTTAGTCAGTAACAAAGCTACACAGATCATCTCATTCTACACTCATCCTCCACTCATATTCCGAGTAAAATACGCATCTAGGTGGCGTTCTCATCTCAACTAATTGATAACTGATAGTTCAAATGAATGTCTAGACTTTTCAAACCAAACCTGACCGTAAAACGATTTTGCAGCTTGCGGGGAGAGGAACGATGCCACGAGGATTGTCGGAGGGAAGCCCGCCGGCGCCAACGAGTTCCCCTGGATAGTCCGGCTCTCCTACTTCAACCGCTTCTACTGCGCTGGCATGCTGATAAACGACCGCTACGTGCTGACGGCAGCCCACTGTGTCAAGGGGTAATCTACAGTCAGCTGATCACTTGGTGGCATGTCTGGGTAGAACTGTAATCAAGTCTGTGTAGTAGAGTAGTTACCAAGCAGACTCTTGGACTCCTCTTCGGAATCTTAGACAATTTGATTACTGATTCCCTCACTGTGGAGAGTAGTTGGACCACTAAGTTAATTTGTGGATTGAAAATCCTCTTATAGATTTGTCTCATCTTATTGAGACAATCATCAAGTTTAAACTATGATGGAACCTATCTGAACCTCCGTCTACTTGGGGACTGACCAAAGTTTAAGGCCCAGGCCAGTCCCAGGCAAGATGGAGGATTAGGAGACAATATCCATCATCCAGACTATAGGAGGTCTTTGAGATGTGACTAAGCCATTGAACTTGCAAACATGCTGGCCAAAATTTATTATACTTGCCATCAACCCATCTTTGGGGCAAGTAACAATTTGACGAATTGTACTTTTTTCAAACGCAGCTTAATGAATTGTAACTTTCTCCAAAAATAAATTGCTGCAATTATTTCAAATCATTGGACAGTATTTTGTCAGGGAAACTCTACTAAATGTATGTATATCCCTAACACTTCTACATTATTAGAGACTTTTGTTTAGGAAACGAGCTGTTGCCTCATCCGAAGAGTAATGTGAGATAAAATGGCTAAAACAAAGACAGGACAGTGCTAACTAAGCAGAAGCTCAGTCTCACCTTATCTTATCTATAAATTTATATTTGTTTCAAAAAATTATGATTGAAAATATTACAAAATTATAGTACCTATACATATTTTACATAGTAATCCCTACTAGCTGAAAACAGGGACGTTTTAAGGTTGCAAACAATAAAGTAGAATCTGATTTTTACGTTCATTTTAACTATGGTCAAAGTGACGTTCGGCGAGCACTAGTATTATGTCAATAGCTTCAATATGAAATCTAACTTGCGATCTTATTGAGCAGGTTCATGTGGTTCATGATCAAAGTGACGTTTGGAGAGCACGACCGTTGTGACAAGAGTCTCAAGCCAGAGTCTAGATTTGTCCTGCGGGCCATCACAGGAGACTTCAGCTACCTCAACTTTGATAACGACATCGCGATCTTGCGTCTCAACGACCGTGTGCCGATGACAGAGACCATCCGACCCATCTGTCTGCCGAAGAATCCTGGTAAATATGATTGTCAACACAGTATCTAGTTGTTGCACGTACCAAATGTCTTCAGGGTTGAAAGTAGGCTAGATTAAAATATTATACTGTCTTGTGTATGCTGTCTTTGATCGTTTTAAGCTTTGACTGGTCTTAGTGAGTAAAAATAAAATTGTACTAAAGGCACTCATCCTACACTTATCTTCCTAAAACTAAAATTATTGCGCCTCAGTTAAAAGAATATTAAGAACTAGGCTTATATTTTTTTCGTGGTTGCTTCTAAGGCATCGTATAGAGTTTTAATTGTTTTAGTTAGTATAGCTCATGAAGTTTACCAAACCACTTTCACACTATTCGTGGTTACAGACAAAAGGTCATGGTAAGATCCTGAAAAAGCTTAGTAGGTGATCGTTCTAAACTGGGCCCCAACTGTCCATAGCTAAAGAAACAGCTTCTCGATGTAGTTGGTATATAATATTATTAAGATATTATAAAGTTAGTGAAAAGATTCCCTAACTCCATTATACTCTAATCTTGCATTTATATAGCACTAAAATACGCATCTATAGTTTGGTCAAATAACGAAGGCGGATGGGGATGGGGCCTACCTGCAGTCGATTTGTATTTATTGGCCACAAGTATGCCTCATGTCTGACCGCCTTCGTTATAATTAACTATAAAGGGTGTTTCTGCCACAAAACCAAATTATAAGGACTACGAATTTTTCTTGGCCTCAGAGAACCTTTACGTGGGCAAGAAAGCCATCGCCTCGGGCTGGGGAACGCTCAAGGAGGATGGCAAGCCAGCGTGTATCCTACAAGAGGTGGAGGTGCCTGTAATGAGCAACATGGACTGCAAGAAGACAAACTACAGTGAGAAGATCATCTCTGACAACATGCTGTGTGCTGGATATCCAGAGGGCCTCAGGGATTCTTGTCAGGTCTGTGATGTCATTTTTTATATTATTTTTGCAGTCTTTGTTGTACTTTTGTTCTTCCTTCATGGCACAGGATGCTTTTGTCCAGAACCGTTTTCATGCACTACTTCATGCTATGCTTCACTATACTTTGTGTTTCCTGGAGAGCGAGCACGGGGCTACAGAACCCGTGGTCTCGGGTTCAAATCTCACCAAACCCCAATGGATTTTATCCGTGTGATAATTGCTCGCCCTTAAGGACTTTCTTGAAGTAATGTGTAGAATAGTTCCGGACTAGAACTTAGCGTCCTAGGATGTAAAGGTAACGTTAAGGAAAGAAAATATTTCATGTATTCTAAATGGATATCATAAATCTTTATCATAAATCATAGATCTTTATTGGTCATTAAATAACATAGTTACAATAGACCCGTCATCAAAATAAGTGGCCAAAAAGGGCCATAGATTCTACTTACTTACTTACTACTTAAAAGGTCGCCGGTTCAATCCTGAGGAAAGTCAGTAGCTTTTTGATGGTTCGAAACTGGACCCAGCTGTTCCTGATCATTGGGCTTTAAATAAATGATCCTGGCTAATGAAACAGCTGATCTTAGTCAGTAACAAAGCTACACAGATCATCTCACACCATTCTACACTCATCCTTCACTCATATTTGGGTTAAAATACGCACCTAAGTGGCGTCCCCATCTTATTGATTGATTATTGATTGATTATTGATTACTTACTTACTATATCGACAAACCTGCAGTTGGAAATAATTAATGAATGGAGAAATGTAATAGTTACTACACAAGTCATTTTTTCTGGCATAATGAATGATTGAGTACGCACCAATTGTATAAGGTGGTAAGTTATTAATTGAATTTCGTGATACTTACCGCTTGGTGATATAAATTATCTGTTGACACCAATGTAATTTCTACCTTCAGTGATTCATAAAGAATTGTGTATATAAATGAAGGTTGAGGGCTGCAATTTGTGATCTGTTTACATAACCCGGCTTTGAAATGTAGTTAAAATAAAAATTTGGTCAAATTAAGGGTATTTAATATTTAAAGATGCTTGTCTAAAACTCAGTGCCATAAAATTTTTTAGGCATTGTAACATTTAATTCAATTAAATGGTTAAAAATATTCAAGACTATATGGAAATTTCCAATGTGTATACCAAATTAAATATATGATTGGTAACACATTCATCAAATTTATATTGGCTTAGTTTGTAGGAAACCACCTAAAGCTTGGATTTGAATGTAATATTGACACAATTTTGTTCCAACTTTTCTTCAGCATCAGAACATGATTTCACACATCTCGTGCATGTATGAGCACTTCTATTGTTTAGCAAAATAATCACGGCAAAACGTCAAAAGAATCAGTGTTGTTGGTCAATGAACTCGCTGACACACAAACATACACACGCGACCGCACCACTTCCACCGTGGAACCTGTCAGGAATGATAATCAAGGAGGCCGGTCGTGTCAGTTTATGCCCACATTGGCGCTGCCTTCATAATTTTGTCGTAGGTACTATTCAGGGTGCTATTCAGTGGAGGTACCAGATGGGGGTGGTTGGGGGAGGGATCATGTCCCGGAATATCAGTAGGGACAGCCGATCTCAATACGGTTTAATATGTTCCATTTAAATAATACAACCATGAATTTGTTTAATAATGGCACAATTTGTCAAAATTGCACTCATAAATAATAAATAATTGCACTGCATAAATGTTGAAACTCACTTAAGATGCGTGTGCAATTTAATATTGTATTTTGATGCTAAGAACTGGGAGTAGAAAAACTATTTTAATACCAAAAGAAGAACCTTAGTTTAACTCTTCTGTATTTTGATTCTACATACATACGGTAATAATACTGTTTAGTAGTAAACTAAACTGCAAATTATTATCGCTTATCATTAACAAAATGGTATAAAAATATCTGAACAGATATGATTGTTTTTGCCATGTTTTCTTGAGGACCTGTAAGTATCTGTGTTGTAAAAACCATCAAACCTGATTTCAGGGAGACAGCGGTGGCCCACTCATCAGGGAGAAAGAAGACAAGCGGTACGAACTTATAGGTCAGTTGACTTATAGTCAATTTATTTTATATTTCATCTTACCCCACTATGGTTGATCACAAATGTACTAGTCGACTAGCAGAATACCCGTTCTTCATACGGGGCTGGCGTATAAAAGTATAAAATGCTTATTGCAGTTATACTCGTGCTTTGCGTTTGCAATGGGGGGAGGATAAGGTTTGAGAAAATTTGGTTCTTAATATTTACGGTATGCTATAGTATTACACATCTACCATAGACATACTGTTCTACCACTGCACCTAAACAAACAAATTTTTTTAAACATACTCACAATATCACAATTTATTTATTAAATTAAAAACATAAAGATAACTTTAAACAATCCTACTTTAACCGTTCTCATCGTGTATCACAGATTTTTACTTCTAATTAGCTGCTTACTTCAAATTAGCTGTTATCATAACTAGCTGTTACCCACGGGCTTCACCGTTTTTCTAGTGGGGCCTTGCTTCAACCCGTTTGACTTCATAAGTATTAATAAAACAAAACTATTGATTGGTTAAGTTAAGCTGAAATAAACTAACCATAATACAGTAATACAAACAAATAATCACACCTGATTTTAATAAGGCAATAAATTGAATGAATAACATACAAATAAGTACAGCTGAGGTATTTTTAACATTAGGTACATGGAAAGTTCCCTTTAGAAAGGAATTACGACCTTAAAGGGCAATTTATGAAACAATGGATAGTTTTGCGCAGGGATGTGACTTGTAGTTTTCTCAAAAGTTCATGGGTACTTTGGGATTTATACATACTAGCTGTTACCCCACGGGCTTCACCCCTGTTTAACTTCATAAGTATTAATAAAACTATTGATTGGTTAAGTTAAGCTGATATAAACAAAACTACAGAATACGGTAATACAAACAAATAAGTAAACCTGTTTTTAATACGGTAATAAATTGAAAGAATAACATACAAGTACAGCTGAGGTATTTTTATCATAGGTATATGGAAAGTTCCCTTTGGAAAGCAATTACGACCTGAAAGGGCAATTTATATTATATTATTCGTCATGACAAACATTTTAAGTATATGGTTTATGGGGGTGTGACTTGTAGTTTTCTCAAAAGTTCATGGGTACTTTGGGCTTTATATATGGATACGGATTGCAAAAAAATAATAGTGCTGCACCCTGTTGGAAATCCTTAAATTGCTATTTAATGCTATTGAATATCACCATGGAGAAAAAGAATGAAATATTCTTTTTGTCTATGATATCACAGAACCAACTTAGATTAGGTTAGATGGGATCCAGAGCCACTGGGGCTGAGCCTGAAAGGATTTTTGAGATAAGAATATGCATATATGCTATTTGGGAATGTTAGCTATAATCATGCCAAATTTCAGCCCAATCCGACCAGTAGTTAATGTGTGATTGCACTTCAAACAAACAAACACACAAACTTTCACATTTATAATATTAGTATGAAGTATGAATAACTTACAATCTTCAAAAAACTACAATTATTAGAAGTAATTTTTTTATTCCACACAAACTACTCAACATTTACTGTAATCGGTTTCTATAATTTTTCGCGTATTGACTGAAACAGATCCGCATGAGTCGTATTTTTTTTAGTCTTCTTCGGCTTCCCCTTCGGCCATCTTAGGCTCCCTCGCCTTAGTCACCAATTATTGTTGTACATACGTTAGCTAATTTAGCACAATTCGTCTTCTTTCACGAACAAAAGTTGGCTTGGTTCGTCCAACCCAATTACATCCAACTGGGTAACTAACGTTACACGCCATCACTGCATCGCCCTAAAACTTAGACGTATTGTGTCATTGTATAACTAACGACCTTTCTTCGTACTTCCAGGAGTAGTGTCCTGGGGAAACGGGTGTGCCAGACCAGGATTCCCTGGTATTTACACCAGGGTAACCCGCTTCCTGGACTGGATAAGGAGCAACACGGCGGGAGGCTGCTGGTGCGAGGACCCCTCGGACAAGGAAGGGACCTCTGGAAGTAACCAGCAGCCAGGGACCTCCGGGAGTTCTCAGGAATCAGGAACATCTGGGAGTTCTCAGGAATCAGGAGCTTCCGGGAGTGACCTGGCATCGCCGTTACAGGAGGTCGTGGTAGTAAACCCAGAAGAATCAGAAACATCATCCACAGTCAAACCTACCGAAGAAACTGTAGATAAGAACCCTCAGACTATGACTGAGAAACCGAGCAAAACTGAAGCCCAAAAAGGACCTACTAGATAGCAAAGAGACCATTTCTATTCAAGTTACATGAACCGATTGACCAAATAAGCTGACAAATTCGATATGCAAACAGGCCAAGTAAAGTATAAAGGTCAGTTCGAGCTTATTTTTACAAGATCCAACAATAAAAAAAAAATGTGTCTTTCATTAACTTACATGATAAAACCTTCCTGTTAAATCAGAGAACATACGAGCACTAACCAAAATAGTAATGGTTGTACCCAATAAAATTATTTATTGTAAATACTGTACAAACTATTTTACCTAACCCATTCATTACCTTTCTATTTATTCACTGTTTTTAAGACGATCAGATTTCTTTCTAGCTAGAAAGAAAAAATACTAAAATAGTTATGTGAAATTAATTTAATAAAAATAACTGGGCCATGTGTTCTTACCCAAATGTCTGAGTATGGTACCTATTTTCCATTTTAGCTTCTCTTCAACAAAAGTACGAATGCACACTTTACAAACATTACAGAGAAGATCCATTTATAGTGCTGGGGCTGCGGCGTTGCCACTTTTGTCTCGCCTCGGCCTTGTATTGGAGGAGGCTACAATTTGGTAAAAGGTCTGGTTTGAGAAGCCTTGTATTTTTTCTAAGTAGTCGTTTAGTGATAAGTCAGTGAAAGCTTGAAGTTTTGTTTTGATTATTAAGACACTTCTAGTAATCAATACATTATACTGATGAGTTCAAGGACCTCAGATATCCAGTAGCTTGCGTCACCAACATATTAGACAATCTGCAGCTTTTTGATTGCAAAACATGACAGTCAATTTTACTGTAATTTTATTAATATTTAGGACTCGATTTGTATTTAAATTATACATCTACTTCAAAAATATACTTTTTACCACACTAAGATGTTTTAGCCGTGTTACAAACGTCAATTGTAGGCTGAAAGCTGCGTATTGCTGACCATGTAAGCTGTCATCGTAATTTGAGGATCAAGCAGGTTTTTGCGGCCCTAGGGCCGAAAATCATCTGTTCGCTTGTTTACTTATATATATAGACATCTTTATTGATTTTTCCCTCAAAGGGTAATTCAAATAAATGACATTTTCCAATTACAGTTATTCATGAAAAAAGGTTGGTAAATTCACTAATAAAAAGTAAATAAATATATATTTATCTTATTTACTGAATTAATGTATATTTAATACACAAGCTGTATCCATGAGCATTGTAATTGACTGTTTTTATTGTCACATGGTTGAGTTAAAGCTATGATATTTTGTTAAACTAAGTACAGTTTAGTATTGTTTCCACAACCAATGTTCGTCTACTTTCTTCTACTCCAGATTCAACGAAACACAATGTTGCCCTCTGAAACGCTGATGGTATCAGCGGGATGACGTCAACGTTAGATCAGCAAGGCTAGGTCTGTTCGGAAATGTTGAAGATATTCAAACCCAACTCACGTACTATGGCATCAACTTCTCACCAATCCGCTAAACTTAATTAAACCTCAAAAATATTCATCTGTATTTGAACGTATTACTTTCTAAATCAACTATATGAGTCTACGATTATGAGTCTAGGTAGTATATGAAGTACCTGTGAATAAATTTAAAATAAATTTAAAAAATAAGAGGAAAATTAACTATCTATCCTAACAAAAATAACCAAAACTAATTTTCTTTACAAAATGAGAATTTTCAAACAGTTGTTAATTGAGTTTCATAGAAATTATCTACAAATAAAGAACTGAAAAGAATGAATTGATGAATAAAATACACTTTTATCCTTCTGAAATAAACATAATCTATATAGTTATATAAATTGTTCAATGATATTAATTAAATATTTACAAAATATTTTAGGAATACCAATAAATTGGCATTGATAAATTGGTGGTCCAAAAATACATATTTTTATATTTCGGAGTTGTAATTGCGCTGAGAAGTTCGCAAACTAAATAAAAGAATATCGTTCAAACCCGGACTATCATCCAACTATGTAAAAAAAATTCAAAATATGGCAAAATATAAAATAAAAATTCTATATGCATACTAGCAAAACAATCTTTGTCATAACTGTATGATAAAATTACTAACCTTTTTAGATGACTTAATGTAATTTAACGTTGCATTAAGTGCCTAAAAACCTTGGCACTATATTGATATGGGTTGGATCAGTTGGCTTCTTCCGGCCTCAAACATTCCCCAAATTTGGCTAAAAATCCACACCCATTTACAAATTTAATGCGTAACCAGGAACATATTATAACAATATTTTTTTATACTGAGAATAACATGTAAATTTAAATCTGCCACATGTTCAAAACAATTGAAAACTTTTACTTTCTCCCCCTATACCATGTATATGGAAAAAGTATTGTTTCGTCCAAATTTTCGAGTTTCGGTTTTGAGTAGATATATCCGTTTACCCCCCCCCCCCCCACACACACACCTGTAGTCCGATTTTCATGAAATTTGGTATGAAGGTCCATGGTACCTCCGGACTATTTTTCGATTTGTTTCCTAATTTTGATTTTTAATGGGGATTTTCCCATAAAAACCCATAAATTAACAGAAAAATCTAATTTCCTCGAAAATGGCCCAAAAGAATGTTGACGAAACATTGGTGTGTTATGGTCCTTTACATTTTGAGCAAAATTGTATAACCCCCATTGCTGAAAAAATTACGGTTTAAAATTGTACCTAACTTATGTTATTTCCCATACAAACCCCCATGAAATAACTGAAAATCGGATTTTTCAAAACGGCCGGTTTTGGTTGAAATTAGAATGTTGTCTATCCATCTATTACTATTATAAAGAAGAGTTGGTGTCTGCCTGTCTGTGTGTCTGAGTGTTTGTATCAGCTAATCTAAAAAAACTACTGAACCAATTGGGCTCAAATTGGACAAAAATAAAGCTACACCTCCGAGGATACATATAGAGCTATTCCCACTTCGATATTGCCTAGGACTCTGCCCCGCGGGCTTTCAAAGTTCTGAGGTGAGAGTTTTAAATGTAAATACTGATTTGTCACCATGGTAACAAAGAACAAACCCACAAATGTAAACAAGCAGAACTTACTGTCAAATTAATTTTGATTTCACACTTCCACACAGCTGGTTCAAACATATTAAATACTGGACGAATATTAAAACAAAACTGTATGTATCATCATATGAATAAAATAATTATGTCACTCGCCCGAATGTAAACACTATTTAACATTATTTACATGGAGCTGTCAAACCATATGATAATGCCATTTCATTAGTATAGGATTCTTTCAGTTACTTCATTTGTTAATGTTTATGATCCATACTGGATCCGTTCTAAATTTGTGAAATCCTGTAATAATATTTTACAGGGAATAATTCATTGTAAAATAAATCATTCTTGGATATAGGAAATAATTGAGATTCTATAATCGTTGCTGTCTACGCTCTTATCCTGATTTTTGTGAGAACTATTTTTTAGTTATATTTTTGTGCGAACAGTAATGTCAACCCCCTGCATCAAACCTGCAGACTATGCGAATTTCCATTTGCCTGATTATAATTTTACTAAAATATTTTGTAAAATTACACTACACTACAGACAGGTTTGGAACTATTGTAATAGCTTTTTTAACAATACAGACCATTTAACATGTTATTTTACTATACCTTAAAATCTAGCATTGATTTTGTATCCAAAACCAGACTATGACCAAGTAAAGTAATACGGTTCAATTTCGTTTATAAATTGAATGGTAGGAGGGAACCCATTTTTATGACATTCATTTTTAAGGCATTTTAAGATTTTCATAGAACCAACACTCTCTCTTTTGCATACTGACCCCGTTGCAAGGCACGGGTATAGCTGCTAGTGATCCCTATATTTTAAAAAAAATTGTGCAAACCCCATTGCCTTAAAAAATTACAGTTCAAATGTTCAAAGATTATTGCAGCTTTTGTGATTTTTTCCAATAAAATATTATAGTTACTCCCACCGCTTGATAAAGGTTTTTGACAGGCTTATGGGAGAAAGTATGTGTCACAATGCTGATACACCGTTTATTTTACTAGGATTATGCCACTTACATGGACTAGTGTTGTGTGGTTATATACATCACGGACACTACATACTCCCCGTGTTTAATCAGCGCACGCGTGTTTTAGCCCCGCGTGGTCGTATAAGCTCTCATCCACTCAGACATCACGTATTATTGTTTATTTGATAAACAATACATGTCCGATATAGCACTATACACGCTCCATGTGACACATTGTTTTAAGCCAATCTTTACTCAGCAGATACGATGTTTGTGTTTTTTCTAAAGGTTCCTTTTGACAAATTTATGTTTAACGCGTAAGTTTGTTTATGGATAAAACAAAACACTTTCTTGGTAGATTTCTCATTCCTATAGATCAGCTGAAGACAATTTATATTGTTAGTTCTGTACGGTGCACTGTAGGGGTCGTGTTTCGTTTACAATTTGTTTCTTGTTAATTCAGTAAGTAAAACTTTGTTTTACAAAAAAAAAAATTATCTAACCATAAACAATAACTCATTCCTTAGTTATATAACGAAACCGTAGAGCACAAATTATAAAATTTATCATAAAATTATAGTAACACAATTTCGTTGTGACTAGCGATCAGTGTCACCGGACATGAACTAGACACGAAAACGAGCTTCAAAATTTAAAACAGCTACAAATCTTCTCATGCAGTAAGGGATTTCTCTGTAAAATCCCTTTTTCACCCAACTTAATCGATTTTTACGATTGAAGTGTTATTGTAAAGCTTATAATATAGTGGAGTGACGAATGGTAACCAAAAGGGTCGCTTTCTTTACGTCCTCGTCCCCCTAGTGTTCGGATTTATGTTGAGTCCAAGTTCAAAGATCCAGTTATGCTGACCAACATTCTTGGTAACGGGCTTCAATGTAAATTGTAATTTAACAGCTGATCCTTCAGTTGGATTGTAGACAAGAGACGAAACAATTTATGAAAATAAATGTTTCATACTGCAGCAAAAACAGCAGGTTTTAATGCATGCGTTGCGGGATCCTAGGGACCAAAAATCAGCTGTTGTCAACTGAGTTGTAAATTTCGATTGTTAACAATCACATGTATCAAAAATATGTATTGATTGTTTAATCGATTTTAGCTTATTGTTGCCTTATTGTAATAGTAGTTTACGCAACGATTGCGTTAAGTTAGTCTTTACGACACGAGTAGAAAATTTAAAGCACGAGCCTTGGCGAGTGTCTTAATAACTTCTACGAGTGCCGTAAAGACTATTAACGCGAGTTGTGTACACTACTTTACCTACGACAGTTTTTTTAATTACTAACAATCTGGTTTTTAATTACTAACAATCACTACTCATAACTTCTTAGAGAGGTTATGTTTTCGTTTATTGTCAATGCCACTGAAAGTGATGCAACGACTTATTGTATAATCAGCTGATTTCATGTAATTACTGTACGTGTTTGTAAAACTTCATTAAATAATACGTTACCTTTTTCAGGGAATAGGTTCTGCTAGCAGCATTCTTACCATAAATACTGTATAAGGTACAATTAGGGAAATATTGATTTTTTGTGCTCTCATTTCCATCTCGTCAGCTTCACTTTCACTAACTGACATTTTTAAATCAGTTTAATCTACCTCCTTTAACTTCAACCAACTTAGGTTAAGAATACGCGAGTATCGACAGGAACAAGTCGGATCAACAATTAAAATTGTCAACTGATCAGCTGATCAGCTGATTAGTTGTAGTTCGAAACGGTTCGAAACATTACAATTTTACTTCTTTTCTCTCAATACTTGAACCTCATTGGTCTGTTACCCGTGTTGTAATGAGAAAAACTATGCTGTTATGAAACGAAACTATGCTGTTATGAAAGTAAACAGCTAAACAGCTGTTAAGTGCAACTTTTCAATTCTAAGAACTGAACTGAAATGGATACTTTAAAAAACGGTCGTAGGTAAAAAGTTTTACCTACGACCGTTTTTTAAAGTAGCCATTTCAGTCCAGTTCTTAGAATTGAAAAGTTTCACTTTACAGCTGTTTACTTTCATATCCGCATAGTTTCATTTCATATCCGCATAGTTTTCTCATATCCACACAGGTAATGGACCAATGAGGAACAAGTATTGAGAGAAAAGAATTAAAATTTTAATGCTTCGAACGTCAACTAATCAGCTGATCAGCTGATCAGTTGACCAATTTAATTGTTGATCCGACTTGTTCATGTTGATACTCGCGTATTCTTAATTAAGTTGGTGGAAGTCCAAAAATAAATGAAATATCTGCCAAATTGTACCTGATACAATATTATTTATGGTAAGAATGCTGCTAGCAATGTAATATTTAACTAAGTTTAACAAACACGTAATTACAGGAAATCAGCTGATTATACAACAAGTCGTTGCATCACTTTCAGTGGCAATGACAATACACGAAAACATAACCTCTCTAAAAAGTTATCATTAGTGATTGTTAGTAATTAAATCCAGATTGATAGTAGTTAAAAAACGGTCGTAGGTAAAGTAGTGTACGCAACTCGCGTTAATAGTCTTTACGACACTCGTAGAAGTTTTTAAGGCACTCGCCAAGGCTCGTGCCTTAAATTTTCTACTCGTGTCGTAAAGACTCACTTAACGCAATCGTTGCGTAAACTACTATTCCAACCACGCTTAACTGAAAGGATAACTTGTTGTCAACTAGAGGAATTGGGGACTTCGGGCTCAAAGCAGCGATATCATGGGTTCAGATCCTGGTACCAGCCACTACTTATAGGCACTGTTATCGCACTCAGTCTCCAAAATAAGTTTTAAAACTTTTAAATGCATTACAACCTAATATTACCAGCAATCCTACAAGGTTTTTATGGACAAATCGAGATGAGGCTGAGGCTTTTGCAAGAAAGTGGTCCAAAATTCTTTTGGATAGGCCGGGGACCGAACTCGATTCTTTGGAAGCAGTGTTTGAAACGCTCTGGGCTAGTGACGCGCCTAATGGTTGACTCCCCCAGACTTCCAGTCCATCTTCCTTTTGAACTAGTGCGAAAGTTCATGCTATCCCAAATCTTTTACGACATTAACCTAGAGCCGGTTATGTCATGTTTATCTAGACCGATCATTTCCATGTTACACATGTTGCGCCACATCTCGGGACGGAAGTTAGCCAAGATAAGCGGAAGTTAGGGTCAAGGTAGTGACCATTGTCTTATACCCAGGACTCTCAGTGGTCAGTCGTGTACCAGCTGGACAGTTGACAGAGTCATGTGAGTACTGCACTGTAGCCTACACGTTCTAATCTTTGGGAATATCATAGATTATACGAAAATATCATAGATTAATAGAAATACCATTAGAAGGTAATAGATTTATCTTGCGATAACATTGTTTTTATGCATTTAATCATTGGTGGTAGCTGGTAGCTTAAAATTGTTTGTTTGAACTATACTAACTTCAAAAATCAAAATAGGTACCGGTACTGGTTTATTCTACAGATTAGACATAGGCCTAACTTATAAAGTTATCATTCTCGTGGATCTAAAGGCCGTTTTCAGATTGGTTCCGTATGGTTTATAGACGGTTGTTTTTTGTTCACTATTTGTGTCTTGTCCATCCTATTTCGAATGTATTATTCATTGTCATTACATGTCCAGTTACGATGAAACCCCTTATAGGCGTATTTTATCCCAAGTAGTCGTGCATGAAGGATATGTGTATAATGGAGTGAGATACCCGTGTAGCACTGTTAAAATTTAAGAATAACATTGTTTTAACGATACCATTTATTAAAAATCCTAATGATAACGTCAGCTGATGCAAGTTTCGAGCCTTTGATAAGCTTTTGACTTTTTTCAACATCAAACCAGCTGATTATTATGTGAGCACTATATCCGCTGCGCTACACAGCTATTTCTACTATGATACCAATAAAAACTATGTAAAACTTAAACAATTGGTTTTCTCTAGTATTTATGCCTAAAGAGCACAGCTCGTTAAATCTACGGTCAACCTAAGAAAAACCATAGTTGACGTCATCAGAGCAGTAATATTTACCAACATTATACACACAAAACAGGCTTAATATTTTCTAATAGGATAAAAAGTCTACATTCAAAAAGGGGTTTAAAAACCGACATTAAATCTTTGGGAGGTTATAACATGTTATCAATTGACTGTCTTTCAGTTGCGTCCATTGCTCTATACCAGCGTAATTATTTATAATAGATCATGTTTTCTGCAGCTTTTTTCACCTAAATAGCTGCAAATGTCCCAAAAAAGGCCGAAAATGTGTGTTTATCAGAACGTTATAGAACTTCAATCGTAAACATAAGCTACATTAATTAAATTTGAAAACTGTGAGTTTGTTTTCTATTTTGAGTTGTGTAATATGTTTCTAAAAATATTATGTCTTAACACAAGACATCAAAAATACAAATAGTTTTATCTTTTTCAGTATTTGCTTTAAATAGTTTGATTATTTAGACTTATTATTCTATTGCGTTTCATGTTGGTGTCGTTTAACTGCGCTGGTTCCAACTACCGTGCATCTTTCTCTCGTAACGGGTTGATTTAACGATTCTTGCATTATTTGTTAGTTATTATACAGGATTGCCGGTTTGATTGTTTTTATTTCGTGAAAATTGATTTTAAATAAGTTGATTAACAATAAATAAATAACCAACGAGGAATATGATGACACCCTCCTCACAGACCGGACGAAAAATAACCTTCAAATTGACTTAATTTGGGTGATAAATCTTTAATGTAAAACTTGTCTTTAATCTATAATTTCGTATGTCAAAAAGTCTGAGAAAACACCAAATGTACATAGTATTTCTGTAATAATGTAAATTCACTATCCCCGGCTATGAATTTTAATCAGATAAATTTAGAATCTTAACAAATTTTGATGAAAATAACAAGAACGTGAATAAATAGGATCCTACTAACAAAAACTTGGTCAATATTTGGGCGTAGTGGGGAAGGGACGATAAAAATCCTAATAGGCTCCTAAAAAATAGGCTACATACATAATAATAGGCGACCCGTGGTTTTTCCATGGTAGCACCACAGAAAATGGAGATGCAAAGGATACAGGCTTATGGGTCAACCGTGCACTTTCAGCTCTGGCATTTTGTGCCGAAAATATATTTTGGAGGAGCAAGCAAAAGCCAGAAGGGAGAGCATGTGGAAATTCCTATCCCACAGTGGCTTCCTCCACGGTGAGCATTGTCGTACATGAGGACAAGGGAGGGGGTGGAGATTTTTTCTTGTCCCATCTTTACATCTTATGACGCTAGTTTCTATCCTGGAACTGTTTTACACATTACTTCAGACTAGCCCAAGAGGGTTGCGGCATTATCACATAGATAAAATCCATTGGTGATTGGTGGGATTTTAACCCAGAACCTCAGTCACAGAAGCCCCACGCTCTGCACCCCGCGGTAACTTTGCCCTAGACACCAGGAATTGTGCTAGACACCACTTAAGCACTGTACCATGGAGTGTATCCTCTGTTCCTTTTTTCTCTGTGGTAACACAAATTTCACCCCATTCTCTTGACACTCCTTGTCCGCATGGTGTCGGTGTCCCAGTTCAGTAGGTAATGAAACGTTTACAAAATAGCAAAAGAAAAACTATAGTTTCATTTCCAGACAATGGTACAGTACCTAGACTCTGCTAGGGAGACTACCTCCACCCACGAGGAGCTGATGGATGACTTACGTCAATGGACAGAGCCTCCAGTCAAGACTGCAGAGCCTCAGGTCTTCAAGAGGCAAATCGTCTGGTTCCCCAACGCTCTTGGCTTCCTGGCCCTCCATGTCGGGGCTGTCTACGGCATATTCCTGGGACTTGTTTATGCAAAGGCCTACACACTTATCTGGTGTAAGCTTATTCCGTTTAGCTTATTCAAGTTGTGTCTGCATCAGAGGTAATAGACGTAAATATCTTTGAATATACTGAAGATCGAAATAGTTCCCCTGACACCTTTTTTCAACAAACTACACATTTTTAATTTTTTATTCCAACACTTGCAATTGGATGATCACTGATCATATGAGTCAGCTACAGAATTGTTGGTTTTATGGCAATATGCCAAAATCGAGGTTGAAATACAGGAGGCTATTTTGCTCAGATAACAAGTTGGAATTTACATTATTTCCACAATTAAAGGGTGTACTCTGTGAGACATGACCTGACCAAAGACATTTTCTCTTAGGGACAATCCAGGCTTTGCTCTCTTCTACCCTTTCATTCTTTCAATCAGGCAGCTTGCCTCAATATGAGATATAGTATAGTTATGAGATTATATCATGAAAAAATTCAGCAGATTTTTTGATAATTCATACTAAACCCGTCCACACTGAACTCAACTGTATGTAGCACTGACACGACAACTCTGCTAGAAAATCGAGAAGTTGTGATTTTGTAATGTTGGTAAGGTACATTTTAATTGTTTAAAATGATTGATTATTGGTGAGCTTATATACAATTTAAAAAGATGGAGATCCTCTGCTGTTTGTTTGGATCTTTTAATCACATAAAAAAAATACGGATCAAGATCACAAATTTAGTATAATATAAAATGAGTAAAACGTTTGCTTTTCTGCAGGTGTATGCTTGATGGTATTAGCAGGACAAGGTGTTACTATGGGAGCTCATAGGCTCTACTCTCACAAGGCATTCAAAGCCAAACCTGGGCTCAGGCTTGCATTGGTGCTTCTTCAGACAATGGCTGGGCAGGTAACCACATGGGCAAACAAAGTAACGGGTCTTAGGGAAATTATGTCCCTCGTGTTTGTTAGTACCAGGGTGGTGAGAATATAATAGAATAGAATAGAATATAATCCTGGTATATAATGAGATTTGACATAAAAAAGATTTAACTGTATATTCTGAATAAAAAAATAAATAAAAAATTAAACTAGATAAGCACCGTGAGCTGAACTGAAAATCTTACAATGGCACATTTTTTAACTAAGCTGTGTGAAATTTGTAAAAACTTCTATAAATTGGTTCTATTCTTAAACCGGATAGCAATTTTTTATGGCTGTCCAGACTAAGGCTATAACCAAAAGTACTTCCATCTCATTTGTAAACTTGTCTCTCTTTTCGGCAGAACTGCCTTTACATCTGGGTGAGAGATCACCGGCAGCATCACAAGTACAGCGACACGGACGCAGACCCCCATAACGCCCGACGAGGGTTCTTCTTCTCCCACATCGGGTGGCTCATGTGTCGCAAACACCCTGAGGTCATTGCCAAGGGGAAAACCATCAACATGAGTGACCTGGAGGCCGACCCCTTCGTCATGTTCCAGAAGAAGTAAGAAGTCTGTGTGTGTAGTTTTGGGAGGTTCAAACGTCACGGCGGTTTCAGATAATTTGGACAATTTTTACCATCTGTATTTTCTTGAAGTGTTCCATTTCTAAGAATGAATCAAAGGTTACAGTAATTAATTGTTGTACTTAAATTATGAAAACCCACCCTTTAGATCATTTTTAGATTAGTTAAGATTATAATTTGCAATACATTTTTAAGACTTAGATCTGTTTTTATGAGATTAAAGCATTGGATGTTCAGAAGCATTGTGCAATCATCACAGTGATGTTGTGAGTTCGCGTCCCAGCGCTGTCACTTTCACATCAGTAGTTCAATCTTGTACTGTACCAGCTCATTCAGGGTGACAAGATTGAAAAGAATAAGGTAAATTATTGTAAATCTACTGTGGGTAAAATAACATGCAGCCACTCAGAACGAATTCTTACTCATTCCTGCTGCCATTTTAAAATATTGTTATTGTTTACTGTTAAGCACTTCCTTCATAGTAATAACAATTTTTGTACTCTACAGGTACTACAAGACATTGTACACGCTGTTGTCGCTGGGGTTGCCAATGATGGTCCCTGTTTGGCTGTGGGGTGAAGACCCTTATATTTCATTTATGACCTGCTTCCTCGGTAGAACCATCCTCAGTCTCAATCTGACGTGGTTGGTGAACAGCGCAGCTCACAAGTTTGGCAACCGACCATACACCAGGTATGGGGGAGTGATGGGGATTAGAGATCAAAATTATTACTGTCAGTAGTTTTTTGGTGGTTCAAGACTGAACCTAGCTACCAGCATTGTTCATTGGAAATGGTGTCATGGCTGAGGAAACAGCTTGTCTTAACTTTTTTTATTTTTTAAGAGGTTGGAGTCTTCTTTTAATCTTTTAAAATCAACTCTAGAAAAGGAGAAGAGAAACATTTAGTTTCAATTTTTGTGCAATCGATTGTCACTAACAAATATTGAACAAAAAATGAAGTTGAAAAATAACTATAATGTATATTTATATTGTCTGAAAACAAGTTGAATTTAAGACGAGCTAACATTTTTATACATTTAAGGACCTTCTCCTTCTAAACTTATTTACAATAGTGTAATACTGTAAGACTGGGACGGGTGGCGTCGTCCTGTAATCCAGCTACTAGGAGGCCACGAATTGTGGATATTTATAGGCATGCATTGTGGATGCGATGCTCCCTGGTGTGGATTAACGTCCGCATTAGTGAGTACTACGACTATCCGCAGTACTATCCTGATAATTAGACCAATTCGTTAATTACAAGGAAAAGTGGTTCGGATTCCACTATATAACTGTAGGTCCCTTAGTTGCCATTAGCTGTATGGGCTATTAATTAACAGCTGTGTCTAAGGAATATGTCGGCCTTAAACAAGACTACAAGATCGCACCACTCATTCTACACTCATCCTTCACTCATATTTGGGTTAAAATACGCACATAGTGGCGTCCCCATCTTAAATAATTGATAACTGATAGTAATTGTATTTCTAAAATTTATTATATTGCGGCGAACCCCTTAGTAGTCCAATTAGAATTTATCCAAAAAGTTCTAAATTTATGAGCAATACGTCTGTACATACAATTCTTATCAGATCATTTATTGTGGTCCACTCTATTATCACAGTTTTTCCTAATTTAAAAAAATTACGATATTAACAAAATAAAATAAAGCATAAATTACCTATATCAATCAAATCTTCAAATTTATAGTTTGAGCCACAGATATATCTGTATTCAACCCTTACTTGCTAATAAGAAACAGAGTTCTTGACAGCTATCTTGGAATCAGGATAAATTGTATTATACCTTCAAATTAATTATATTTAAAAAGCTTTATGAAGTTAAAAACTTAGACAAGATTTCGCCTTTCTCTGACGAAGAAACTATTGTCTAATTTGCTGAAATACATATTATGTAGCAATATGGCAATATTAGGTGTTATTAAAACTTAAATTCGTAATTAACAATACTTTTTGTAAAAAAATACCTGTTTATGAGTTAAAATACCGGACATATAAAGCTGTAAATCTTTTTGGTTTACTTTAAGCCTTACAAGCTTAAAGTTTTACAACTCAATCTCCACACAAGTATTTCCTCGGATATAACTATACACAATGCAAGAAGTTTACCTTTCTGTCATAAAATAATATACAAACAACATTTTGACTTGAGATGTTACTTTTACAAGAATAACAAATAGGCTATTTTTAATTGCTACTAGAAAAAAATACCTTTATATTGTAACTCTTCATTAATAATATATTTTAGATATATTTACTGTATTAAAATGTTCTTTGGTAGGTCTCTATGATGATTTGTTATGACTCTTTAAATCTTGCCAGTATAATCCCTCATATCAAAGTACGGTGTAAATCTTGAGAGAAGTCAGTAGCTATTGGATGGTTAGAAACATAGACCAAGGTGTCATTGATTATTGACCACCTGATCTTAGGGTGCATTCATGTTGGAGCTGCGACTAGTGATACAAGCTGCAAACATCCAAAAATGTGCTTTCTTTCTTATGTCTGTTTGTTGGAGTCTACACTGTTATTCGCTCTTGGGTTCCAACCATTGATGAGGGCAGCAGTTAGCTCAGGAGGCCTACTTTTTATCAGCTAGTAAAGGCTCCGAATATGGATATTGACAATTTAATATTGACAATATATAGTTGAAGTTTTCTAATTTCAATCTCATGTGTAGCTAACAAATTTTCTGGGATGCTGTCTTAAATCGTTATACAAAATGATGGCACTCCCCAAATGCATTCCTCTCTACATTGATAGGATTTTTATTTTTACATCCTAGTAAATAATTCTTACTGCATATTATGCTAAAAATTTAATCTCCTTCAGAATCATGCACTCATCAAAAACTAACTTTGAGCAAAACACCAACTCATAAATCATCCTTTCAGCGTGAGTGTTGAACAGCTGATAGAAGCAGAGTGCTTCGCCCCGCTAGCATCTCTGCTCTCATTGTTGCTACAATCGTTTATTGCAGCTCCGACATGAACGCAGTCACTAACAAAGCTAGACACTTACAAATACATGCCCTGACATGTCGGCGTCATACACAACCTAATCTCATTTATTCACCATCTTGTGATAACCGTAGGAGTGGATATCTAGTGTTTAAAGAAATCACTTATTTTATCCATGAATATAACTTAGTAGAAAAACATTCTTAGAACACAGTATAATAAAACTTTCAATTGTTCACAGAGACATAGTTCCAGTGGAATCTCAGTTTGTGTCTATGATAGCGATGGGAGAAGGTTGGCACAACTACCACCACACATTCCCATGGGACTACAAGGCGGCTGAGCTCGGACAGAAGTGGAACTTGACCACCACGCTGCTTGACACCTTTGCCCGCTGGGGCTGGGCGTACGACCTCCGTGCAGCCTCCCCAGCGATGGTACTACACAGGATACAGCGGCGAGGGGATGGCACCCATCCGTGGTCCACTGAGGATCAATTCAGCTCTGAGGAGATTTTTGAGAGGAAGTTGCTCAGAAGTACTGGTCTTTGATGGTCGTTTCTAGTCTATAAGGCTGCAATCTGCAAACTGAAATTTGTGATATTAGTGTTAATAACTTATTCAGGGTGTGCGGTTGTGATTTTAATAAAATGTTTTCTTTGTATGGTTTTTTATATTTGTTTTTTATTTGTTTCCTTCAAAGATTTTTTTAAAATTGTGTGTCATTTCTATCATGTTAAAGGGTATATATCCTAAATACTTATATTCACATCAGTGGAATACTATTTAATACTCTCCTACAAAACCTTTCATTTTAAAGATTTTTGTATTTATTCAAAACAATTTTGAAGAAAGAAGTTGTAGAAATATTTATACAGGGTGAGTTTTAAATGAGTTCCCCCCCTCCTTTTTTCTACATTTCTTAAGATATCAACTCCGGACCACGTCAGATCATTGTAGAGTAGTAAGTACTTCATTTTGACTGGGTATAAATTTTTAGCCGCCATCTTGGATCCGCCATATTGGATACAAAGTTTTTTTTTTCAAATGTAAAGGTAGGGTTGTGACCCATCGTTTTAAACTAGATTTTTATATTGAATACGATGCTGCAATTCGTTTTTAAAAATCTTGATCTATTCTAAAGTTATGAGAACTTTTTATAACATTATTTTTAGCCCATTTTAACATTGTGCATTTATTGTCGGGGCCACGTAAGTTTGCAGTTGAGGGAGGAGCCTATTTTCCATATGGTTTTTAATGAACCAATGAGAACCGTGCGGTGTTGCAAAATCTAATAATACCAGCTGATTTGAAAATATTGCTTAGTATTTTAATTAGTTTTGTCAAAGGGCGATGTGGCAACGTCGCACTAGCCTTGTCATATGATTGGCTGCCACCAACTGCAAACTTACGTGGTCCCGACAATAGAAACTAAGAACATAATCGCAAAATAGTGCTAGATAAAGATAAGTATACACCACATAATATACATAAATCTTTATCCAGCACTATTTTGCGATTATGTTCTTAGTTTCTAAATGCACAATGTTAAAATGGGCTAAAAATTATGTTATAAAAAGTTCTCATAACTTTAGAATGGATCAAGATTTTTTAAAACAAATTGCAGCATCGTATTCAGAATAAAAATCTAGTTTAAAACGATGGGTCACAACCCCACCTTTACATTTGAAAAAAAAACTTTGTATCCAATATGGCGGATCCAAGATGGCGGCCAAAAATTTATACCCAGTCAAAATGAGGTACTTACTACTCTACAATGATCTGACGTGGTCCGGAGTTGATATCTTAAGAAATGTAGAAAAAAGTAGGGGAGGAACTCATTTAAAACTCACCCTGTATTGTACACTGTTTAACCGTGCTGCTTTTGTATTAGGAACCAGAATATAGTGTAGTGGTAATTTATGGGATGGTGTAGAATAGACGGGAAAAGTCTTAGCTGATTGTTGCTAGGTTTCAGTTATGGCAGCTTGTGTCATTTATAGTGAGCAGGACGCATAAGTGCAAGAGCCCTTTGTCACTTCCTTATATTGGACAGTTATTTATCTATTAATTGTCCATACCTATTTCAATACCACCATCATCTATATCGTGACTTTAAGTGTTGTTAGGAACCTCTCCCTCATCTCTCCCACATGCCATCCTATTTACATCTATATGAAAATCTATATGAACTTTCAGGGACAAGATCAACATATTATTCTTTTAGTTGGGAATACTTTATTTTTTCAGTAAGCCAGGTTAAATACTCTTTTGAAAGTGGGATGGTTACAGACAAATGGCTTGACATACAGAGATGAAACAAAACTTTTCCCCTCTAATTCATACCCAAGGAACAACGTAAAAATGTTTTTACCATTTTTAAAATACAGGGTGTTCAAGAAACTGCGGGTCATGGGTTCGAATCTCAGAGTTTTCAAAAGTAAACATATGTCATGTTATACATAATTTTAAAGCTCTAGACTAGACAAACAATTTTATAAACAGAACTCATTTATCTTTGTCCGTTTCAAAATAGCGGCCATTTTTATGGAAAATACTAGCTGGCCCGACAGACGTCGTCCTGTCCTAATGTGGTTTTATGTCAAATGCTCGTTCATTTTCAAGATGAGCTCGTTCGAATGGCTCAATCACAACCTGGTTGAACTTCGTTCGCTACGCTCACTCACCTTTTGGTTGCAAATTGGCTGTTGTCATAAATTTAAAAAAAATAAGAGTGCTGCACCCTTTTGGTAAGCCTATTAAATTTTTAATGCTATTGAACATCACAGAATCAAATTCTTTACTTGAACCAGCTGTTAAGATTCTTTAATTCCATTTAAATATGAATACTCATGAGGTTAACATGGGAAACTCTAGAGCCAATGGGGCAGAGCCCTTTTGACGGATCTGCACCAAACTTCACACAAACCATCCTTGAATAATGCTTAATAATACCTGAAAGTTTCATTACAATCTGTCGAGCGGTTTCGGAGTCCATAAAGGACAAACAAACAAACAAATAAACAAACATACAAACAAGCATAAATTGGATTTTATATATATAGAAGATTGATATTTACAGAATACCCTGTATCTTGGAAACCACTGAACTTATTTTCGTTCTGTTTGAGTATTCTTAATCCTCGTGGTTTGAGCTTTAAGTTGATGTACAACAATAGGCCAGTAAAATTAGTTAAAAAATTGGCTGTGCCTGGAAATATTTCTCGGAAAGCTGGAAATCGTTTTAATCCTTTTGTTTTATATAGAAGTAAAAGGATTTGAAGTTTGTCCCATTTTTCCAGGTGAGCTTCTGACCTGGGACCGCAAAAACCTTGAAATTTAGGGTTATTTTTTAGTTTTTATTAAAACGTTAAAGAACTGTCCAGCCTACAGAAAAATACGTAATTAAGGAATTGTAGAGTATAAAATTCCGCATCCATTGAGTATCTGGTGATGAATACCGAACCAATATTAAGTTATTTATAGTAATTTAAATAAAGTTATTTTATTAAGAAATTATTGAACATTGCATATTTAACATTTATATTTCTTCTAGAAAATGGATTCCAAGTACATTATTATTTATAAAGTAATTAATACGAATTACAAATACCCTCGCCGCAGCAAACCTGCAGACTAAGTGATTTTCCATTTACCTGGCTGGATTTATACTAAAATATTCCCTAAAAATTGGTAGATTTATTTCCTATTTAATTAACATTAATTTTAGTGACTACTTAGGTTTGCTGCTACAGGGAAGATATTGAGATGTGTTTTTTATTGCAATGTCGATAGCTTAGTATTAAATAAACAAAATTTCCAAATTTGGTTTAATATCCATAAACAAGCAAACTACAACAGTTTATTTATTCTCCATAAGAATAACATAGGAATTTAATTTCCAATTTTTTTAAATTATCCCCGTAACCGTTGGGTATACAACAACGCTTCAATATACAAATCAATTATTTATTTGTTTAAGCTCTACAAAATGGTTTGGAGAGAAATTATGAAATGTTATCTATTAGGGAAAATCTATTTTTACCCCATAAAACCCCCCATAAACCCCCGCTCCCATAGTACGATTATGATGGTTGGTGGACTCATTAGAATAAATGTAGGTTTACACGTGTGTACCAAATTTCATCAAAATCGTGTTTGTATGCCCAACGGTTACGGGGATAATTTAAAAAATTGGAAATTTAAATTCCTATGTTATTCTTATGAAGAATAAATAAACTGTTGTAGTTTGCTTGTTTATGGATATATTTAAACCAAATTTGGAAATGTTGTTTATTTAATACTAAGCTATCGACATTGCAATAAAAACACATCTCAATATCTTCCCTGTAGCAGCAAACCTAAGATGTTACTAAAATTAATGTTAATTAAATAGGAAATAAATCTGACATTTTTTAGGGAATATTTTACTATAAATCCAGCCAGGTAAATGGAAAATCACTTAGTCTGCAGGTTTGCTGCGGCGAGGGTATTTGTAATTCGTATTAATTACTTTGTAAATAATAATGTACTTGGAATCCATTTTCTAGAAGAAATATAAATGTTAAATATGCAATGTTCAATAATTTATTAATAAAATAACTTTATTTAAATTACTATAAATAACTAATATTGGTTCGATATTCATCAGCAGATACTCAATGGATGCGGAATTTTATACTCTACAATTCCTTAACTACGTGTTTTTCTGTAGGCTGGACGGTTCTTTGACGTTTTAATAAAAACTAAAAAAAAAACCTTAATTTCAAGGTTTTTGTGGTCCCAGGTCAGAAGCTCCCCTGGAAAAATGGGACAAACTTCAAATCCTTTTACTTCTATATAAAACAAAAGGAATAAAACGATTTCCAGCTTTCCGAGAATTATTTCCGGGCAAAAACCTATTTTTACTGGCCTACAAGTCAACATTCTAAAAACTAAATATTTGTTCAATGATTTTATTTTGTTTTAATGTTGGTAGCCTTGTAAATGAAAAATGTTAAATGGCAACATATGTAAAATTGTGTATCATTTTGAAGGTCTTGCAAAAACAAACAACTTTTAAATTTAAACTTACCGCCTATCTTTGGTAGTTTTCTATTAATTAACCAAAAACTCCAATTGCCCATATAAAACTCATGTTAAACGTGCAGTACTGGAGAATAGTGGATGCAGATACACTATTCCCATTGGAGTTTTTGGTTAATTACTAGAAAACGACCAAAGATAGACGGTAGGGTTAAGTTTAAAAGTTGTTTGTTTTTACAAGACCTTCAAAATGATACACAATTTTATATATGTTGCCATTTAAAAATTTTAATTTACAAAGCTATCAACTTAAAAAAAATATAAAATCATTGAAAAAATATTTAGTTTTTAAAATGTTGACTTGTCGTATATCAAATTAAAGCTCAAACCACGAGGATTAAGAATTTTCAAACTGAACGAAAATAAGTTTAGTGGTTTCCAAGATGCAGGGTATTCTGTAATTATCAATATTTTCAATAAAAATGGCCGCCATTTTGAAACGGACAAAGAAAAAAGAGTTCTGTTTAAACTAAATTGTTCGTCTAGTCTAGAGCTTTAAAATGATGCATAACATGGCACATGTTTACTTTTGAAAACTCTTGAGATTCGAACCCATGACCCCCAGTTTCTCGAACACCCTATTTTTTTTTAAATTGTAAAAATATTTTTACGTTGTTCCTTGGGTATGAATTAGTGGGGAAAAGTGTTGTTTCATCTCTGTATGTCAAGCCGTTCGTCTGTAATCTGTTTAGGACAGATTAGAAGACTCGCCCTGTATATATGATATATAATATATGAACTCATAACATTTTAGTTTATGATTTTTTCAATTAAGAAAATACCTTCACTGTGCATGGAGTGCCCAATAGTATGCAACACTAGCCTAAAACATTAAAACCCACAAATGCCTCTTAACTTCAAATTTATCACCTACCCCCAGCTCTCCCACCAAATTTAAAAAAATATTAACTAAAAAGCATAAAAAGTAAAATAAGCATAAAAAATCTATGAAAAACATAATAAAGTCATGGAAATAAGTAAGGTTTAGTAGGTACCTTTACAAGGGTAACAAGGACAGAACACACAAAATGCATGAAAATTAAGATACTTTTTTCAGTAATATTAATTAATAGGACAAATCTCCTGTGAACCTTTACTTCACTGAACAACACAGTGAACGGTGAATTGAGTATAACACAACAACTTTTAAATACAACTCAAAATTACATCGTACCTGATTATACAGAAAGCTCAACTCTACTGTGCACCTAAGACCCTCTGGTGTGAGGGACGGGTTCTTCTGCGGTGGTTGGGGTTGAAGAGCTGCAGCAAGAAATATTCCCAAGCAGAGAGCGGACGCGAAGTAGAACTACCGTCACCAGAAGCATCATCACTACCACCACTGGAACCGATGGACGATTCAACGTTGACCCAGGAGAACAGGAGAGTCAGGAGGGAGTCTAGGAGGGAAGGAGGAGAGGATGTGGTAGGATCGGTATCAAGAGGGGTTGAAAAGTCTCCATCTTCACCATCAGTGCTGAAACAAGAACTTGTGCTGTCCCAAAACACAGTTTGAAGTGCAAAAAGGATAGAAATGTGAAAATGTGAAAGGAATAAGGGAGTGAATAAAATATTGAGTATAAGCATGGTTTTTGTATAGGCTACTGCAGTAGAAAAGTAGACTTTTTATCATCTATATTGCTGAAGTGAAACTACTTTGTTTCAGAACATAGTTATATGAGCTGCTCACAGAAGTGCTGTACTCTTAACACTTGATGTTCTCTCTTAATTTTTCATTTATTAGGCTTTTTTAAGATTTCGGTTTTTTTTTTTTCATTTACTTTCAGCACAGTTTGTCGGTTGCTCAATTCAACTCCGTCCATTTCGAATTTTCATTCTAAAACTGGCTACAGTTTTGACATTGGAATTGGATGCCTATGTCTCTGAAAATTGAAAAGTCTAATTCTTAAGAAGAAGAATTAGAATGAGATTCAAATAGCATTTAAGAAGCACAACATTTAGAGCATACTCCTTATACTATTAGCATTGGCTTCAGGTTAACTAGGCAGAGAGCGTCACCTATAGTGTTTTTATTATCAATAACCCCCTTCCCCCAATAGATCCATATTCATTTCAGAAAGTCAAGCCAAAATAGTTTTTTTTTATTTTTTTAATAAAGTTGCAATAGAAGACAGTGCAAACAAACTAAAGCATGTTTTGCTGTGTTTCAAGCTTGGTAAGCCTAAAGTGGGTTGCTAAAAAAGTGTTTCCCTCTAAAGCTATATGCTAAGAAAATCACCAGTTTAAAAATGGATAGTTGTGAGTTGTTAATGTAGTGTTGAAGTAAGATAAGTAAAAGCACAAAAGTTTATTTTTTAAATTCTTATTTAAAAGTCTGCTATAGCTATTAACAAGCCGAAGAACTGCAAGTATTACCATGACATCCATAGTAATCCAATTTAAAACATCACAGCACAGCATCGAACACAAACCCCCAGTTTCAGGCTTACCTCCGATAATAAGGTATGTTTTCTGCTCTCCAATGAACATAGAATCTTCATCAGTTATTGTTTTAGTTATACCTAAAGAGCTGCATAAATTACAAGTTAGTATCCAAGTCCTACTTTATTAGTAAGCACTTCTTAACTACCGGTACCTATTTTATTATACTTTGGCGGTTTGAGGGGAAGTTTCCACACTACTTTTTTCTTAATAGGTATAATATAGGGCAAAGTTGATTGATGTTTTGGAAAACCTCAGCTGTTATTTCAAAGAGGTAGGCTAAAGTGGAGGGGGTAGATTTCTTCCCCGAACCGCCTATATTTTGTGAACGGAGTATAACATATAAATTATTGTTTTACTGACTGTTATTTTGTGCTTAAAGCTGTAATTTTGTGTTTTAGTCCCAGTGACCAAGGACAGCTGTTTGACAGTATCAAACCATCAAAAAGCAAATTAGTTATCTCTTCTATAATTCCTGTGCGAGCCCTATAACAACTACGCTACCCTTAAAATCTGTTGTTTATTTTTACAGTGGTTTGTTAGTTCCCTTACAAACACATAGTTTTATTGTATTAATTACAATTTAGAAATCTGTAATAGTATCAAAGCATACCAGTACATATAAGGATAGTGTTTGGTGATTTGATGATTAGAACTGGACTGGTTTGGTATTTTTATTTTTCGCATTTTACATTTAGTGTTTAAATTTTCTCTTTCCAAAATGGTGCCTTCTCCTGAAACAAAAAGGGAAACTACTCAAGACTAAGTTTAGTCATGACATCAGGATCAATGTGCCAAGACCTTGCAAAACTACCATACACCTAAACACTCATTGGTAAAAACCTCATCATATTCAAAGAGAAACAATGTGCAGAAAACTCTTGCCTATGGGCCGACCATGCGCTTTTAGCTGTAGTATATTGTGTCGGAAATATATTTGTGTTGTGACGAACAAGGAATAAGAGCCAGAGTTTCGAGCACTGAGTAGAAAAGAAATTCCTATCGCAAAGGGTATAGGGTCTTCCTCCACCGTAAGTGCTGTAGGTACTTAGGGCAAAGGGGAGAGGTGTTGGAATTTGTCCTAGACACCAGCAGCTAGTGCTAGACACCACTAAAATGTACCATTAAGTATTTCCTCTGAGCCTTAATTGCTTTTCTGTGTCATATCTTACCTATTCACAGAAGAATCTATGAACTCTCTGTATGCTGAAACTTTTGTATAGACACCAGGCAAGTTCTTCCGGGCACACCCTTCTCCAAATGATACAATACCTGTTATCAAAAAGAATTATTTACTGTTGTGAGGAAAACCGAACCGGTTAATTTCCAGCGTTGTTAATAGGTGTTAGATATTTGTAATTATTTGCTATAATTTTAATGTTTGTTTATTTCTATATGCGCCAGTGACAATTTGTATCTAAAAAAACCAAATTATTTTAAGGGGAAGTAATAAAAATTCCAAAAACTTGTTTTGATATGCCAGGGATCAAAGATAAAACCCGTCCCTCTTGCACTGAAGTCCAAGAAGCTATAACCACTGTTCTAGCAACCTTTTTCATTATGTGAACTACTGAACTGATATATTTTGTACAAAAAAAGACCAGGTAACTGTTTAACATGCTGTTTTATATAGGAGAATTTTTAAGAAGGAGGTTGGAGGAAAGACACACAATAGGGAATAAAGAGAATAATTGTATAAAGATACGGTACGGATGTAGTTTGTGAGTATAAATGTAGAAGGATTAGATGGGATGGGGTTTTAAGAAGAGGGAAAGATAGTAATTTAAAACAAGTACCGGTACAGTAGTAATGAGTTACCCTGAAGGGAATTTGCACAAAGAAGTTTTAGTATACTGTTAGGTTAGCCAAACAGGTTATATAACTTTTATCTACGTATATTTTTTGAGGCTCGAGTGTTTGGGGATGCCATTCCCTCCCGGGGACCCAAAAACAGAGAATTAATGAACATATTTGAAAACATATTTATAAAACATCATACCTTGCACAATGTATGCTCCATCTTTACCAACTGTCATTATAGGACCACCACTGTCCCCCTGCAAGCAGTTGAATCCTTAATTATAACATGAATTAATAATTAATTGTTTATTCATAACCTTTAGAGAATAGAATATAGTCAACGTGGTTCTAAATGGTTTAAAACCATATGAACCCTTCTCAGTATGTTTTAAATACTTCGCTCTACCCTTTTTGCAATTTATTTTAAGCACATTTAATGTTTACTCTTCATTTCTAGTACTGTATCGGATCATCCCTTTCCTGTATGGTAGGTTGCAATGAAATGAAATGAAATGCAAATGCAATGAAAAAGGATCTACTAAGCTCTAAAAAAACATATTTTTTAAGAGGTTGGTAGGCTTGCCTGTACATAATGTGGGTCACAAAGGCCTGTGTTAGGAAAGTATCTAGCAATCAAGAAGTGAGCCGGTACGTTACAAGGGTGAAATGTACTGATAAAATGAAGTAACAGGTATCAGGATCCTAGACCATGATATTACTGCCTTGAGCTTGTAGTCTCGGACACCATCAACTGAGTCTCCAACTTACCCCATTCGCCTCATTAACTGATCTGGCGAGAGTCAATGTGGAAACACTTACATCGCAAGAGTCAACGCCCCCGGCAGGTACTCCAGCACAGATGGTACCTGGGACATGGGAATACTCTGGAGCGAGACTGCTGCGAGCGCATTGCCGTCTGCTGTATATGTCCACCTGTGCCTGCATCAGAGTGCAGGGGTACTGCGACTTGGCCAGGGTCGATCCAAACCCGATCACTACCGCGGGCCCATATGGTTGATAATCTGTAAGAATAAAAATAAGTAATTACTGCACTGAGTTTGACACGTTGACTGTAGATAGAAGAGGACATTCCATTGTCATAGGTGTAGGCCTAACCAGTTTGGGGAAAAATTGAAGGTTCGGTAAACTATGTTTTTTCCAAACTCTTAGGGACCGAGGCTAGTCCAGATAACAGTTTTTCTCGTTAAACAGACATTGTCCTAAAACTCCTTACTTCTACGTTTGTCACTCATTTCTAAAAAAGAAAACACTTATATAAAATGGCAAATTGCATTAAAACTACAGAAAGGCGAATCCACACATCAGTATACTGGACAATACACAATTATACTATAATCTATCTGTACTATAATGTTCTGTACAAACGTTCACAACAATCACAATTTAAAGTATGCACTGCATGAACGTGACAAACAATACATGTACACGCCACAGCTAGTAATCACTTACAAATTATCCAAATATTTTATTTAAATTTGGGAGAGGTATTTAGACACGTGATCATCACTGGTCTCAAATCTTTCCCACAAGAAACCGTTTCAGTACGGTACTAACACCCACTTCCTGCTGATCCAGTCCGGTTAAATCGATGTCCTGATAAATATTGTCTGGTTAAAGAGATGTCCTTCTATCAAGTGTAGTCCGGTTAAACAGATTTCCAGTTAAAAGGTTTCTGGTTAAGAGGGAGTCTACTGTAGTGGAATGTGCTGATGTCGATAACTGATTTCTGTTAAATACGCCAACTTTGAAAAAAGAAAACTAACTGGACAACTTCATCGCAGGCTATGGGATCTTTGATGTCGTCTGCATCTCTGTTTCAATATGTTGTGTAGGTAGCTGAGTGGCTATAATGCACACCTAGTAATCATTGGTCACCGGTTTGATCATAGTTTGCATCAAAGCTATACAAGGTATCTCACTTCATTCTACACTCATCCTTTACTCATATTTGGGTCGAAATAGGCACCTAGGCGGCTTAACCATCTCAATTAGTAATGGTAAAATGGTATCTCGCATCAAGTATCACCATAGACAAAAAGAATATTTAATTATTTATTTTCTTTTTGTCTATGCTACTCATCAAACTATGTTTTTTGCTAATAGGAAAACCAGCTGTTAGTTAAATAGAATTATATTGCACTTTAAAGTAACCTAAAGTGTTAGTGTCGATTTTGCTAAACTTTTTGAACATAACAACTGAATTTCTAAAATAAAGCTCAGTATCCAAAAAGTCAATAGTAAAACTCACTCCTAGGTGGTAGACAGACTGGAGTGTAGGATACAGTTCTGGCCAGGGTGATCACTGAGACATCAGCCTGTTGTGTCTGAGGGTTGTACTCCGGATGAACTCTGACCCTTGCGATGGTGACCATGTCAGGATGTTGCTGAGAACATCTGTTGACCAGACCTAGGACTGCTCGGTACAGCTGCTCTGGTTGTACGCCAGATGACCTAGGAACAACAAATGTTTTATTTTATCTATTTATATAAAAGGCAAAGCACTCACTGACTCACTGACTGACTCACTCACTCATCACTAATTCTCTTACTTCCCATTTACCTATGAGGCTGAAATTTGGTACACTTATTCTTTAGGCATTAAATAGGAAAACTAAGCTGTTTTTATTCTGATCGGACTCTCAGGCTCCGCCCCAGTGGCTCTGGAGTTTCCCATGTTAACCTTATAAGTACCTACTCATATTTAAATGGAATTAATGAATCTTAACAGCTGTTTCAATTAAACAATTTGGTTCTGTTCTATGATGTTCAATAGCATTAAAGTTACAAAGATTACCAACAGGGTGCAGCAGTATTATTTCTTTTACATTTATGACAACAGCTAATTTGTAACCGAAAGGTGAGTGAGCGTAGCGAACGAACTTCAACCAGGACGTGATTGAGCCATGCGAACAAGCTCACTTATAAAGTTAAACGGGGCAAAGCCCGCGGGTACAGCTATTATATCTATAATTTTTTCTAGTACCAGTGTAAGACTTCCAGAATCCAATATGTGACTCTCAATGTTAAGAAAGGGGCCAGGGGCCTCAAAATATTCAGTGTTTCTTTTGTAAATTCTTATTTGTTACTCTGAGGTGGGATGCCTACAATTTTTAAGGTAAGCCTGCTTATCCTGTCCTTTGCCTCCATAACTCTCAGGATATATTTCTAATTAAATTCTAAATAGATAAGTGTAACCGACATTAAAATAAATTTTCAAATCAGACTGATTTCCAAAAAATTAATGAAAAATAATAAATTAAATTATATTACCTGGGAAAGCAGTGAGCTGCAGAGAGGACATGTCTGCTAGTGATGAGAGATCCACCACAGGATACCTGAAGTGTGGAAGAGCCAGTGGGAGACACCAGGGCTACATACCAGGGGAACTCCAGCGATCCTACAGACTGTCCTCCCACAATCTTGGTCACTGCCCCCGCCATTCCACATTGCTGACCTGCCACCGCTACATGAAACAGAGACAGAACACCTGGAGTGTAGAAGAGACAGTGGGTGACACCAGGGCTACATACCAGGGGAACTCCAGCGATCCTAGAGACTGTCCTCCCACAATCTTGGTCACTCCCCCCGCCATTCCACATTGCTGACCTGCCACCGCTACATAAAACAGAGACAGAACACCTGGAGTGTAAAAGAGACAGTGGGTGACACCAGGGCTACATACCAGGGGAACTCCAGCGATCCTACAGACTGTCCTCCCACAATCTTGGTCACTCCCCCCGCCATTCCACATTGCTGACCTGCCACCGCTACATAAAACAGAGACAGAACACCTGGAGTGTAAAAGAGACAGTGGGAGACACCAGGGCTACATACCAGGGGAACTCCAGCGATCCTACAGACTGTCCTCCCACAATCTTGGTCACTCCCCCCGCCATTCCACATTGCTGACCTGCCACCGCTACATAAAACAGAGACAGAACACCTGGAGTGTAAAAGAGACAGTGGGAGACACCACGGTTACATACCAGGGGAACTCCAGCGATCCTACAGACTGTCCTCCCACAATCTTGGTCACTCCCCCCGCCATTCCACATTGCTGACCTGCCACCGCTACATGAAACAGAGACAGAACACCTGGAGTGTAAAAAAAACAGTGGGAGTTACCAGGGCTACATACCAGGGGAACTCCAGCGATCCTACAGACTGTCCTCCCACAATCTTGGTCACTCCCCCCGCCATTCCACATTGCTGACCTGCCACCGCTACATAAAACAGAGACAGAACACCTGGAGTGTAAAAGAGACAGTGGGAGACACCACGGTTACATACGAGGGGAACTCCAGCGATCCTACAGACTGTCCTCCCACAATCTTGGTCACTCCCCCCGCCATTCCACATTGCTGACCTGCCACTGCTACATGAAACAGAGACAGAACACCTGGAGTGTAAAAGAGACAGTGGGAGACACCAGGGCTACATACCAGGGGAACTCCAGCGATCCTACAGACTGTCCTCCCACAATCTTGGTCACTCCCCCACCATGCCACATTGCTGACCTGCCACCGCTACATGAAACAGAGACAGAACACCCGGAGTGTAAAAGTGCCAGTGGGAGACACCAGGGCTACATACCAGGGGAACTCCATCGATCCTACAGACTGTCCTCCCACAATCTTGGTCACTCCCCCCGCCATTCCACATTGCTGACCTGCCACCGCTACATAAAACAGAGACAGAACACCTGGAGTGTAAAAGTGCCAGTGGGAGACACCAGGGCTACATACCAGGGGAACTCCAGCGATCCTACAGACTGTCCTCCCACAATCTTGGTCACTCCCCCACCATGCCACATTGCTGACCTGCCACCGCTACATGAAACAGAGACAGAACACCCGGAGTGTAAAAGTGCCAGTGGGAGACACCAGGGCTACATACCAGGGGAACTCCATCGATCCTACAGACTGTCCTCCCACAATCTTGGTCACTCCCCCCGCCATTCCACATTGCTGACCTGCCACCGCTACATAAAACAGAGACAGAACACCTGGAGTGTAAAAGAGACAGTGGGAGACACCAGGGCTACATACCAGGGGAACTCCAGCGATCCTACAGACTGTCCTCCCACAATCTTGGTCACTCCCCCACCATGCCACATTGCTGACCTGCCACCGCTACATGAAACAGAGACAGAACACCCGGAGTGTAAAAGTGCCAGTGGGAGACACCAGGGCTACATACCAGGGGAACTCCATCGATCCTACAGACTGTCCTCCCACAATCTTGGTCACTCCCCCGCCATTCCACATTGCTGACCTGCCACCGCTACATAAAACAGAGACAGAACACCTGGAGTGTAAAAGAGACAGTGGGAGACACCACGGTTACATACCAGGGGAACTCCAGCGATCCTACAGACTGTCCTCCCACAATCTTGGTCACTCCCCCGCCATTCCACATTGCTGACCTGCCACCGCTACATGAAACAGAGACAGAACACCTGGAGTGTAAAAGAGACAGTGGGAGTTACCAGGGCTACATACCAGGGGAACTCCAGCGATCCTACAGACTGTCCTCCCACAATCTTGGTCACTCCCCCCGCCATTCCACATTGTTGACCTGCCACCGCTACATTAAACATAGAGACAGAACACCTGGAGTGTAAAAGAGACAGTGGGAGACACCAGGGCTACATACCAGGGGAACTCCAGCGATCCTACAGACTGTCCTCCCACAATCTTGGTCACTCCCCCACCATGCCACATTGCTGACCTGCCACCGCTACATGAAACAGAGACAGAACACCCGGAGTGTAAAAGTGCCAGTGGGAGACACCAGGGCTACATACCAGGGGAACTCCATCGATCCTACAGACTGTCCTCCCACAATCTTGGTCACTCCCCCCGCCATTCCACATTGCTGACCTGCCACCGCTACATAAAACAGAGACAGAACACCTGGAGTGTAAAAGTGCCAGTGGGAGACACCAGGGCTACATACCAGGGGAACTCCAGCGATCCTACAGACTGTCCTCCCACAATCTTGGTCACTCCCCCACCATGCCACATTGCTGACCTGCCACCGCTACATGAAACAGAGACAGAACACCCGGAGTGTAAAAGTGCCAGTGGGAGACACCAGGGCTACATACCAGGGGAACTCCATCGATCCTACAGACTGTCCTCCCACAATCTTGGTCACTCCCCCGCCATTCCACATTGCTGACCTGCCACCGCTACATAAAACAGAGACAGAACACCTGGAGTGTAAAAGAGACAGTGGGAGACACCACGGTTACATACCAGGGGAACTCCAGCGATCCTACAGACTGTCCTCCCACAATCTTGGTCACTCCCCCGCCATTCCACATTGCTGACCTGCCACCGCTACATGAAACAGAGACAGAACACCTGGAGTGTAAAAGAGACAGTGGGAGTTACCAGGGCTACATACCAGGGGAACTCCAGCGATCCTACAGACTGTCCTCCCACAATCTTGGTCACTCCCCCCGCCATTCCACATTGTTGACCTGCCACCGCTACATTAAACATAGAGACAGAACACCTGGAGTGTAAAAGAGACAGTGGGAGACACCAGGGCTACATACCAGGGGAACTCCAGCGATCCTACAGACTGTCCTCCCACAATCTTGGTCACTCCCCCGCCATTCCACATTGCTGACCTGCCACCGCTACATAAAACAGAGACAGAACACCTGGAGTGTAAAAGAGACAGTGGGTGACACCAGGGCTACATACCAGGGGAACTCCAGCGATCCTACAGACTGTCCTCCCACAATCTTGGTCACTCCCCCCGCCATTCCACATTGCTGACCTGCCACCGCTACATAAAACAGAGACAGAACACCTGGAGTGTAAAAGAGACAGTGGGAGACACCAGGGCTACATACCAGGGGAACTCCATCGATCCTACAAACTGTCCTCCCACAATCTTGGTCACTCCCCCGCCATACCACATTGCTGACCTGCCACTGCTACATGAAACAGAGACAGAACACCTGGAGTGTAAAAGAGACAGTGGGAGACACCAGGGCTACATACCAGGGGAACTCCAGCGATCCTACAGACTGTCCTCCCACAATCTTGGTCACTCCCCCCGCCATTCCACATTGCTGACCTGCCACCGCTACATGAAACAGAGACAGAACACCTGGAGTGTAAAAGAGACAGTGGGAGACACCACGGTTACATACCAGGGGAACTCCAGCGATCCTACAAACTGTCTACAGAGGGTTTGAATTGATTTTCAGTTAAATATATTTTAATAACATTAGGTTTAACGAGTACCTAGGTTTGCTGCTACAAGGAAACTAATAAAGTGTTTTTTTGAGTAAAATATTGATATCTTAGTACAAAATAAATAAATTTGCCAAGTTTGATCAAAATATATCCACAAACAAGCAAACTACAACATTTGACAATATTTTCCATAAGAATAACATGGGAATTTTAAATTTACAATTTTTTTAATTTTCTCTGTTACTAATAATAGAAACAAAAATACTTTTATATACTAAATTATTTGTTTTTTTAAGCTCTTTAATAAGGTCTAAAGAGAAATCGGGAAATTTTGTGTTTTGAGGGTCAAAAGTGAGAAAAACCAATTTTTACCCCATAAAACCGCCCGTAAAGCCCTGTTCCCATGGTCCGATCGTGCTGGTTCGCGAACTCATTCAAGTTTATCCCGCTTTACACCTTTAAACCAAATTTCATCAAAATCGGACAAAAATTACTCAAGTTATCGCATTCACGGACGTATATATATATATATATATATAGATATATGTCTATATATATATATATATATATACATATATAAAAATTTGTACGAATGGTGTTTTTGGCCTCTGGGGACATCAAAATGAAAAAGTAAATCGGTCCCGGGTCTAGGTCTTACCGTGCCATCTACGGTAATAGCTACTTCCCTATAGGGAAATTCGCTAAAAATCATCAGAGGTTCTACAAAACGCAGGACAGAGAGCTCCAGTGACTTTTTGAGGTAACCAATACAAAGTCTATGGTCGCTAACCACATGTTTTAAGGGTTTCGTTTATTTTTTTAATTTGTAAATTTAAGAAATTGATAGATTAGCATTGTATATACAGTAGAACCTTGATATTCTGACAGGTAAGGAGGAGAGATGTTAGATTACAATTAATTATAATTTTGGAAAATAATCTAGATTGGTTTTTTTATAAATTAAGCATTTGGTGCAGTTTACAAACATAGTAAAGTTAAAATATACCGGTAACTAAAACTAGGCAATACAGTGACGGTGAGTATAAAGCAGAACTCATGTTGCTAAAGACTGGTTTTTCACTGATAAAACTGTGGCTATGTGTCACTTAAATGTCAATAAATGTCATTAAAAAGTGTCGGATTATTGAGGGACAAGAGTATTGAATATCAACAGTTTTATCTGTCCAAGATAAAATCAAATATTGGTGATTGGCAGGATTTCAACTTGGGA